TTTTTTTTTTATGTTAGTTTGAAAAATGCCTAAAATTTAGGCTTCTAGACCAGAATACCCCCTTAAATAAAGTTAGAATCAAAACTATACGTGGAGATTTTAAATAAAAAAATTGTTAGACAGAAAAAAATTCATAACTAAAGAACAAATATTGACGATTCAAGTAAAGATCAAAATTATACCTAGTACGAAGGAAATTTTCCTTGAATCGAGCAATAATTGTTTCAAGTAAGCTTTAATTTTATCTAAGATGAGTTTGTTCTCAAATACTTTTTTTGGTTCAAGTGAATCGTTTTTGTTTCATATGTAAGGTAAGAGCCCTAGTAGCTGTTCAGGAACCAATACCTGCTCACTTCATGTATTTGTATATCTATATTTGTGAATATAGATATACAAATACATGGAGTGAGCAAGTACTGGTTCATGAGCAGGTACTGGGGCTTTTACCTTAGAGGTATAAATATAAAATTTTATGTGACATTCGAATTATAAAACTTACTACTCATAAAATTAAAAAATCCACAAAACTCTAAATTTTGTTTCGACCTACATTTGATCTCATAAACTTTTTTTTATTGAATTTGAATAAATTATTTTCAATTTAAGTATTCTCAATAAACAAGGGCATAATTAGCGGAAAATTTTCACAAATTATGTTTATTTTTTGTAGGATTATTTGTTAATAAATTTTTTCGAACAATTTAATCTATATAAGAAAGAGAATTGACTCAATTGATGACTAACTAGTTATTATAAAGTAAAATATTTGAGATAAAAAAATCTCGCATATTTTTATAGCAATGTAAATAAAATGATTATACGAAGAAAATCTTTTTTTTTTATGAGACTTGGGGTATGATTTAAATTATAGAATTTATTTATGCATTTTTTTCATATTTGGAATTAATTTCAGATAATAAATTACACGTAAAATAAATTATAATTAATTTGCACGTAAAATAAATTATAGTTGATTTGCACGTAATCTACCTGAAATTATTTACAACAAATTATAACTTATATTGATCACTGAATTTTAAATTATTAGTAGAACAACATATTCCATGTTGAAAAGTTGGTTATCACTTTCGGAGTATCCTATAAGTTATATACCTATAAATTTTCAGAACGGTGGAAATGAATGCAAAAGAAATATTTTATTCGTAAACATAGATATTAGATAATATTTGTTCATGAAAAATAAAAAGACAAAAATTAAAGACTATTTCAGAAGCTTTTAGATGCGTTATATAGGTATTTAGTAAGTTTTTCTAATTAAAAGTTTTTCAAGAAAGCAATATTAAATTGAAGAAAGTTCATCTACAGATTAAGTCAAGTTCTTATTTATTAGCAAATTGAAAGAACCATTGTAATGATCTTGTGATAAACTAATATTTTTATTAGTGATACTTACACTATAACACCTTAATTAACAATATTATTAGATTTGGTTTTTTTTTTTTTTTCTAATCATGCCAAGAATTAATATCATATTCATTAATGTTAAATTCTACATACACATAAAAAAAGTTTATTTGAATCAAGAAAACATAGAGAAAAAAAATTGCTTTGATCTAAATAAATATCTTGAACTATATGAATTTTTTCAACTAAAAATAATCTTCATTTGATCAAAGAGAATTTTGATTTTAATTTATGAATGTTCATACAATAAATTAATTTGATTAACTGATTTAAAAAATATGAAATACTAAGAAAATGTTGATAGACTTTGAAAAGTAATATATAGGTGATTAAATTATGGTCGAGGGTTGATAAAAAAAATTATTTTACAAAACATTTTTAATAATTTTATACATTAATATTGTCGTCATTTTATTGTAATGTATGTCTATAGAAAAAAAAACTCTCTCCGAAACCAGATAGAAGGAAAGAGATAACTTATTGAAGTATTGCTCAATCAAAACATGAAGAACATCCAAGAATTTTAAACTGGGATCTTATCATATCAAGACATTTTAATACGTAACTATAAATAATTATAACTTTCATAATAATATGTAGATATATTTCATGAGAAAATATTCCAAGAATTAAAAATATAATAAAATTGTTTAGCAATGATTCAAAGAGTTTTCAATTATGGTAATAAATAATGTTTTAAACAAAAATACTTTTGCTCGAAATTGAAAAGAACGTAACGTAATGAAATGTAAACACAGTGGAATCTCTCTAAGTTTTTTAATTCTTTAAATTTAAATCCCCACTATGAATTTCTCACGCAATAGTAGTGGATATGCTTATCTACTAGCATGAATTCTAACTTCGATTCCAGGAATTTTAGTCTCGTAGTGATGTCAAAATACTGACCTTGCATCATCGTAGCTGCCCGAGACAAGACGTCCAGCGCGCTTTCAACAGCGGACATAGTTGAATGTGATTAGTTTCTTCTTTTTCTCCAATTATTGAAAAATTAGTTCAAAGTTGATTGGACCAACGCTGTCTGCTAACAATTATAATAATACATCATTGCTCAGTACTTTTTTGTATTTATGCGCTTAATTAAATATTCAAGTAAAAATCAAAGAAACAAACTATGGAGATTATAGGAAGGAATTAAAAAAACAAACAAATAAGAAAATGAAAATAAAAACAATGGACAATGATGCAGTTTAAGTTAGAGATGTAAACTGTTAAAGAGTTGTTGCCGTAAACGACATAGAGTACAAATAAAGTGAAATGGGAATTAAAAAACGTGACATTGTCTGTGGAATGCGGACCCCTCACCAAGAGCCTCCCTTCCTCTTTCAACAAAGTGTTATTGCCTCGCCTCTTGTATTGCCCCTCTTCAACATTATATTCACAGACACCACATTCACATTTATAAATATTTCTCTCGACATTCACCACCTACATAATACACTTTCAAGCATTACTATTTTATTCGTAATAATATAAACAACGGGGATTTTACTTCCTTTGGTTAAGTACCGTGTCTTCCGTATACAAGATGATACAGTTTCTTTTTAATTTTCTGATTTTATTGAGTTTATAAAATAATAACAGCTTCAATAAAATATCGTCAAATAAAAATGAGTATTTTTTGTAGCAGAAGTCTATTATTTACAAATAATTTAATTGTTACAAAAATAATAATTTGAAAAAGTGCACCTGGAAGTGTTTAAAAACTCTTTGCGCAACATTTTTGGATTTTTTTTTACAGTCAATCGTTAAAATTTATAGCTGTCTGCTAATTTCATACTCATTTATCAGGTAATATTTTATAATTCATAATAGAATTAAAAATATGGTTCAAATAATTTTCTTCAAATCAAATTAATTTCAAAATTCCTCAAAACGGAACGTTTCAAAATGATAATTATTTTTTTTTTTTTCTGTAAAAAAAACCATAATTAAAAATGTCATTGATTTTACCTCAAATTGAATTATATTGAAAAATTTCTTCTTTTATGTTACATGATTTTAACTACTGAAGAATTGTTTAGTTTAAATTAAAAAATGTAATCAACTAATGACACACAGGCACTTATAGTCACGTGTTGTTTATAAAGTAAGATAGTATAAACTAGATATTTTTTAAATGTTTAATTGTTTCATATTAACAATGGTGATGATTAAATAATTATAGTAGTGATGATAATAATAGAACGAATGATTGAAAAACAAAAATTATAAAAAATTAGGTTGACAATAAATTGATAGTAAAGTTACTGGTTTTAAAAGAATGAAATAAGCTATTAGGAAAGCACGTCTCTTGTCGGTACAAATCAATAAAGGAATGCAGCATAGCGTTAAAAAAGTAAAGCCTTGCATTCCAAAAGTAAAACGAAATATCGGTTAAAATACATATTTAGACTTACCTACGTGGTAAAAACAACGACACTTATTAAAATATGTTTATACTAGTTAAATATATTGTTTATCAATATAACTTTGTAATTGTAAACAAATTATTCCATTGGAATTAAGGAAAACGCAGAGGTATGCGGGCGGACACACGGAGCACGAGCTGTCTGACACGAGAGGTATGTATCTACGGGTCCCCCACCAGTTTGCCACTTAGACGTTACAAAGGAATGTTTGGCATTTGCTTTACTAACGCCCTCTTTTGGAAAAAATTTATAACCTTCGTTCACTCAACTGATGTGCGTTAGCATTGGATATGATAGTTGAGATTGTATGTATGCAGCTGTATATAAATGTAATTATAAATATACCTTATATTTTTATTTATTTATGAATTGCTAGATATTTACTCCAAAAAATGAAAGATAAGGCATCGAAATATTTCTTGAATTTTTTCTAACAACCTGAATAAACCTCTTTATACAAAAATTCATTTTTTTATAAAATTAAAAGTTGTTTTTATGAATATTTTTGTATAAAGTCGGAAACAAATAGAAAAAATTTTTTTTTTTTTTAATATATGAGATAAAATTTTAACATTTTTCAATTATTTGTGTATTTTATTATTTTTTATTGTGTACTAAATTTATTGTATATTGGTCTAAAACAATTAATTATTTTTTATTCCCCAAGATTGCATATTAAATTATTTTATTTCTAAATTTTGAATTTCAGTAGCAAGACGATGTATAGGAACGCTAAATCCTTATTTTTGTATAAATTTTCTCATTTGATTTCTTATCATTTTTTGAAGAGTTTAATTGTTTTAATACTTATTTAAAATTAAAGATCAAGCTTATAAAAAAGTAGCACTTTTTACTTTTAATTTTCATTAATGAACATTATTATAGCTTTTTAAAAAATTTACTCGTAAATAACATGTTTTTTCTTTTAAAAATTGTTATTTTCCTCGAGAGAAGAAAATATTCAAAGTTACTTTTGACAAGATTTTTAGCGATTTTCAGCAAAGTGATAGCTCTTTTAAACCTTTAGTTATTTTTTAGTTTAAAAAAAAAAGAATATATTAATTACTGCGACAAAAAAGTTGATATATTAGCGCGATTGACAAACTCAATCATTTCGAGCAGTGGAAAAAAATTGCAGTGTTTTGAATTTTCCGGGGTTTCTTTGATTTTTTTAATTAATAAAAATATCAAATAACTACTTTTTTAAGTAAATATTTTATTAAACTATTGGTTTTGCGATAATTTTCATAATTACAGCTAATAAATGACGCATACAACTTTACAATGTAAATATAATCAAATTGTAATTATTTCATAAATTTTTATAAATGTTAATTTTACAATAAGCTCAATCAAGTACTTTTATATAAATAAGCAAACGATTAAAAAAAAAAAATTTATAATATTTTATCATGACATTTTGTTATTTATACTTGTTATTTAGTTATAATCCATTATTTTATATTAAGAATTTTTTAATTAATATTAAAAACTTTTTGAATAATATGAATGTAATAGTAATGCTGATATTCGTTGCTTACAACAAAAAGTGCGATGGGAAATATTAATTTTTGTACTTGTCAGTTATATTTTTTTTATCACAAACATTAATATGTAAAATATTGTAACATTGCGTACAAACTTTTGGTGTCATACTTATCATTTAAATAACAAAATAAAAATCTTGTATGAGTGAGTAATTCATAAAATAATAGTTTTTTACAAGTTTATAAAAAATGATAATTTATAAAATGTAGATCTATTTCTAAACTTTTGTGAGACTGATATTCTCACTGTCTTCATCGGAACTATCTATTGCATAGCACAGCTAAAAGTTTAAATAATCAAATTAATTACTCCGAAAATATTTCTTGTTATATTTAAAATAAATACATTGTTTTTACGTACCTCATCTAGATTAGGTCTTTTCAGTAAATCTTCTAAACCAGCAATTCGTTCCAAATAATTAGGCTGATTACAAGCATCAAGAATAAAATCAAAACCACGTTTTCGGTATTCATTAATTATTGGTATAGAACAAGCCGTGCAGGATGGAAATCTATGAGTAATTGTTAGCCGCATCTCATAATTCCAAAGAGAACCACGCAAAGTATGTGGAATCAATCCGAGTAAGCCTTCACAAGACTCTCTTTCACTAGAGCGATACTGATTTCTACCATCATCCATAAAAGCGTTGGCTCCAATTCTTTAGGATTAAATAATAATGAAATATTTAAAATATATTAATATTTATTTCAATCAATAGTAAATCTTATTACCCTTTAGAATGTTGAGTCACAGCAATCATTAATTCAACTGCAAGGCCAGCAGCAATTGATGATAATCCAGGTCTACTTACTGTACATTGTTGATCGAGAGTTCTATCAGCTTGGGACTGCAATTGTAATGATTAAATAATATATAATGTATCTTCTAGTTGTTTTATATTGTATACAATGAAACTTGCATTTCCTGGTTGCGTTACATCATTGCAAAAATAACAGCCGAGATCTTCACCAGATGGACAATTTTGAGTTAAATCAGGAGAAGTAGCTACTGTTACTCTTCGTGTACCGTGACGTTGTACAGTGTATGAATCAAAACCAAGAGCTGCGTTTATTGCCATTTTGTCAAATACTGCGCATAATAATGTAGGTAACCAACGTGCTTCACGTGAATCAAGCAATAAAAATATCACATCATGGTTTTGAACTAATTCTTCTAGTGTTTTTACGGCTGCCTGAGTTGAGGCTAGAAGACTTTGTCCTACTACATGACCAGGCATTGGAATATGCATGACTACGGCTTCAACATTCTAACCATAGATAGATAATTTTAAATATTATTCTGTTTACTAAAGATTTTTAAATTAAATTAAATTAAATATTTACAAATGTAGGAGATATTCGGAGAAGTGCATCTCTTGCTGCTTCAGCTTTCAATCGTTTATTAACTGCATCTTCGTGAGTGTAAAGACTTTGTCTAACAGTATTACTGTGAGATACTGTTGAACTATCAACGAATGTTATGTTTTTAATTCCCCAACCAATCAATACTCTTGCAACTGAGCAACCTAAAGTACCGGCTCCTAGTAGTAAACAACGAAGTTTAGAAACTTTTTCTAAATCTAAATCAGGAACTAATCGCCACTTCATAAGTTTTAAATTTAAACCAACTGCACGAGCAGCCATCCTGAAATAAAATAAATTGCTGGATGAAAAATATTTATATTATTATTAATAATAATGATAAATTTATTGTATTAACCGATTTGGATCTAGTGATTCGGATAAATCAGCAATATTTGGTCCCATTTTACCGTTTACATTAGCTTCCCATCCTACCAGTCGTCCTTCGATTATTTCTTTTCTGTCCAAAATTTTTTCACCTCCTTTTGTTTTTATAGAAAATATAATAGACGACTCTAAATTTTTACCACGAAGAGATAATATATTTATTGTTTTACTATAAGTAAAATCTGGGCAAGAATAAAATAACAGACATAGAAGATTTCTTAGTGGCCATCCTGGCTCAAGAGTATCACATGGATCATAAAATGCAAAATACAGCTTTTGATCAACCTGAAGAAAACAAGTAAATCGTTTAATAAAATGATTTGCTAAATTTGTACTATTGTCAATATACTTACACAACTAGTTTCTTTGGCTTTCACTAGTGATGAGTTAACATAAGTAACGCCTTCGAACAAAGTCATAATCTTTAAACCATCACTGGACAATAAAATAGCAAAAAAGCTTTTAAATTTCGAGTCCAAATTATTAAAATCAGTCTGGAGCTTACTAAAATCGCTGCTTGAAAGTATTTCTGTAGCTTTTGTTCGGGGACCATCATAATGAATTTCAGGTAAATTAAATAAAGTTGGATAAGCTGCCCAATAATGAAATCTGTGTTTTTTTAAATCAGCGTATGATAATAATAAAAATAAAGTAAGTCGCCAAGGTTCTTTTAATGCTGTCCCATCAATGATAGCATCTTTGAGATGTTTACCAAGTGAATCAATAAATTTATCTGGTTGAGTTTGTCTGAATGATTCAAAAGTATTAGTGTTAATGAGTATTCCAGTACAGACAACAGATCCGTTAAGTGAAGTTGTTTCAACGTTTCTAAAAATTTATGTACACAGATTAATAAATAGTTAACTCTAAATTTAAAAGAAAAAAATATTATTTAGTTTCATAGTCATAAATATGAAGTAATAATATCTTACTCATTAAACGATGTGCAATCAAGAATCATTGGACTTGTTCTGTTCTCATATGCTTTATCCAAGCTATAACCACTCCAAATGGATATTTCAGTTTTATCTTCCAATTTATATTTATCCAGTTTCAATTCTGCTAACTTAGCCCAAAAACTTGGATCAATAGCCGTACGCAGTTTTGTAAATTTGACCATATTTAATGACATTTTTGATTATTTATTTTTTCTAAAAATTTAAAGTTCAATAATTTTAATTTTTTTTCTCAGTCACTTTACTGTTCAAAATAGAATTATTTATCCTGTATTCTAAAATAATTGCATCTATACGTATTAATAATGTCAAATAATTTATCACTTATAATAAATATTATTTTATAAATAAACAATAGCTAGCAGAAACACTTAGTAGATCATAATTTTGATCTTAACATTATAAATTCGTTTTTAATAACATTATAAATAATTGCACCCTGATTGAGATATTTTACACATTTACTTATAAACATTAGAAATTGTCACTTAAGGAAATCCTTTTGCTCCAGTTGAGTCAAAACAATTGTAGTAGTCAATATACGATAAATTAAAAAAAGAAACCCATAAAAATTCCTAAAATTAAATAATAAATAGTATATGAGGCATTAATCGTTGAAATTTTGAAAATAAAAAAAAAAAATAGTTAAATACAAAAATTAATTTGACTCTTTCAAATCAACTGCTAGTAACCTGTCCGTGATTTGGTAACGCTGTACTTCGGTTGTTTACATTTTCATTTGCACAATATAACCTTAACCACGTTTAAGTTTTTGCAGTCAGTGTAAATAAATAAATTAGTTTGAATTTATTGAATGGTCTGAAACTCGCGCGATACGCAACGTTGCCAAATGTTTTGATTCCATTTTAATGTAGGTTACTTGAGAATTTTTTGTGATTTTTAAATATTAATTTCTCAATAAATATCTCGGTAACTGATATATTTTATTGCAAAAAAAGAAACCTGAATATTTCGAAAATCTAATTTTTAGTTTTTTTTTTACTTCATCTAATCCATGACTGATAGTATAATTTGAGAAATACTGCAAACGTCTGACTTTCTCGTAAGACTCTGAACAAATACTAACATTTAAAAATTTTATTTTTTCAAAAATTTGTCCGGTAAAGTATAATTTAAACCTCACTATTAGATAAATAAGGACCTTAACTATTAGAAAAAAATTGAATTTAATCATAATCTAATATTTTTTATTTTACATTGGCGGCGAAAGGACCTCCTTAACAATAAATACTGTTGTGAAGCAATTATTGTATTGGTAAAAAAGAGATCGGAGTAAAGAGGGTGAACTTGGTCATGCTCACGAGCAATATATTTACGATGGTTAGTAGTGTAAGATTATGACAGCTTGTAAACACTAAGAGAGGTTATAAATTGCATAAGCATGATGATAAAAAAAAGTTTAACAACATAAGATATTTAAATATATTATTATAAGCTGATTATGAGAATATAAGTTATTTCAAGTAAAGTAAAAGACCCAGTTATTGACTAGTTGATTGACACTTGCAATTTTATTGCAATTGAAAAAATAAAATTTTCTCAAAAAACCAATTATACAAAAAATTATAATTCACAAATTGTATTTATTGATTTATTGGAGTTGGCTTTTTTTCAATTAAAATAAAAGGACGTGGCTAAAGGTACGGCAACTGGACGATACGGACCTGTTAATATACGGAACTGTTCTTACGGATCAGTATCGTCGCACGTACGAAATTCGGAAAATTTTAATTTAAAAAAAAAATGGCGAGTGATTGAAAATTTTCTCACTATTCTTAATGTTTTTTTTTTTTTTGTTTTAATCCGGCTAAAAAAATCTTTAAAACAAAAATTTTTCAAATTCCGTACGTGCGACGATAACTACATCCTTACTGATTATAAAGCAATTTGGGTTTTTATTTTCAAATGATCTGTTTTTGAGTTATCGAACCAACCGTGGAGGAGGGAAATTTTCTCCAGTGCTCGACGAGATTGTTTATAACTTTGTAATAATTAAATATTTTTTAATAAAAATTCAAGGTAATAATCTTTAATGTACCCTTAATAAAATAAAAAAAACCTGATTCTTGAATTCCTTTATTTTCCCTGGCAAGAAATTCCCGAAAATCACCTCTTTTTTTCGATCGTCACAGTGGTGTTCCCCCTTAAATGACTTGATATTTATAATAATTTCAAATTGTGTTTTCATCGAAGATCATCGCTCAACGTGCGCGACATGTCGCTCATTGAATGTAATTGCAAACCTCTACGATACATTGTTCAACGAAAAGCTTCGAGCGTACAACTCATCGTACAATAAAAGATACACTTCGTTTCAAATATTATTGTGGACTGAACGTGCGGTCAATGACCGCAAGCTTAAAACTCAAGCTAGAAGATTCAAGACATGCAATCACGTTGCCAGGGAAACGTTTGCGATCCTTTACGAATCTCGGGCCATCGACTTCCTTGATGCCGGACGGACCTTCGTTGAAGGATATTCTCGCGAAGAGAATGGTATTTAAGTAAACATAAACACCTTTATATAATTTTAATTATTAATTAACAATAACCTCAAAAGAAATAAAAATCAAGCACAACACAGAAAGAATAATTTTTTTCAATTTAATAATTTTATTTAATAAACTTCCAAGCATGGATTCGAATCCCAAGCTGGCCTTAGAAACAAGCTTGGTTGAGATTTGACCTTGCCGCGTAGTTTAAGATTTTGACAAACCAAAAAACCCCCAACGTAACACTCTGAACAGTTAAAGTCGGCGATGTGATTAATTAAAGAAAAAAAAAAAAAAAATTATGAGCGACCTTTCAAAATTTAAATTTTGAACTGAAACTTTCAGAAACTTATTTTTTTTTTGGTCTATAAAATTATACTGTAACGAGAAAAAAAATTAAAAAAAAAAATTCAATTTTCGATGATTTTTGAAATTTTAAAAAATTTGGAGTGACCTCTTAAAAATTTTTTTTGCGCTGTCTTTTGGAGAGGGCTTTTGAAACATCAAAAACTAACATTTTTTCACTCGAAACTCAAAAAAAAAAAATTAGAAAAACGGTTCACCCTAAAGGCCATTCCTGCAACTTCCCGCTCATTTTGTACTTAAACGCTTCAAACTACACATTACGTTTTTGAGCTCTTCGAGCTCAAAAATATTGTTTTTGTGTCAATTTGAGCTCTTCGAGCTCAAAACTCTAATAGCAGTTTAAACACACAATTTTTTGAATTTTCAAACGGCAATAACTTTTGAATGAATGAACCGATTTTCACGCGGTTGGCGGCAATCGACGCAGTTTCTGAAGCTCCATGAAAAATTTTTAAGTTTAAATCGATCGAGCCATGAATTTCGAAGTTATTACAAAAAAACACTTTTTTCGATTTTTTTCGACAACGATATCTCACGAACGCATCAACCGATTCTAACGTTTTTGGTGGCGATCGATGGGGGTTTTTAAGATTAAGAGCTGATTAGATTTTGAGACCGATCGGTTCAGCCAATTCGGAGATATTTAAAAAAAATTAAAAAAAAACAACTTTTTTTTTCACTTTTTTTGCATTTTCTCGAAATCTACCGGTCCGAATCGGTTCAAATTTTCAGGAAATCTAAGTTTGGGCAAGCCCTTTCGAATGGCGCCAACCGCGATCAAATCGGTCAAGCCGTTCAAAAGTTACAAGAGGTTTACATACACACACACACACACACACACACATACAGACGTACGGACATCATCGTAAAAATAGTCAAAGAAGCTTCCTGTGACCTTCAAACGTCGAGATTTGATGAAAACTCGATTTTTGTAAAACGGGGTGAAAACAATAACTTCCCGATTTTTGAAAATCTGAGATTTTTAGCGGGAAGTTATAAATTAGGAATACGGTTGACTCTGATGGCCATCCCTGCAACTTCCTGCCAATTCTATACCTAAACGCTTGAAATTGCACTTATGACGTTTATCTCCAAGCTCAAAACAATTAGGAAAACGGTTGACCCTAAAGGCCATTCCTGAAACTGCCTTCTAATGTCGTTAATACCCGGCCACTTTTTTGAGCTCTTCGAGCTCAAAAGTACAATCTGGATGTTGTTTTGAGCTCCTAGAGCTCAAAAAGATATTTTTTCTATGTTTTTGAGCTCTTTGAGCTCAAAATTCTGATAAAAGTTTCATAGAGCACTATTTTTTGAATTTTCAAACCGCAATAACTTTTGAATGAATGAACCGATTTTTACGCAGTTGGCGGCATTCTACGCAGTTTTTTAAGCCTCATGAAGAATTCTTAAGTTTCAATTGGTTAAACTCGAAATTTTGGAGTAATTCCGAAAAAACACTTTTTTCGGTTTTTTTTCGTTCACGATATCTCTTGAACGAGTTATTTGGTGAGACTTTCGTCTGCCTCCTTTCGAACAGACCGTTTCCTGGGCTTAAAAAAGCTATACACGCACTTAAAATAAAACCCAAATCTCACCAAACAAAAGCACTGTCAACCTGCCGGGCAAGGAAAAACCCTGCCCTCCAGCTTTTACGCTATCACTGGACAGAATGTGAATGGAGTTGAATTTAATTTAATGTCAATATGTCCTCGTAATTGTTCACTGTATCAAACCTCCCCTATACAACTCCATTCAACGACTACGTTGGCCTGGCCGGTAATATAATGACAATCCGACCAGTTGCCCAGCGGGGCCCATGCGGGGAGGTGTAGCCGTAAGGCCTGTTGAGCTATAATATTTAGTTATCCCTGTATGTGTCTCGTTCGTTTGTTACTTGTCTACTGTCATTCCCATAATCTTTGAGCCTACCTGCGTTGCCAAATGCTTTGACAACGTCACGAGGCCTTACTCATGTATCTCTTGAACGAATCAACCGATTTTGATCGGATCGGCGGCGATCGACGTTGTTTTTCAAGGTTGAGAGCTGAATAGTTTTTGGAATCCATCGGTAGAGCCGTTTAAAAGTTATTCCAAAAAAAACCACTTTTAAAAAAAATTTTTTTCCTATTTTTTCCTATTTTTTTAGAGATTTCTCTAAATTTCTCAAAATCTATCGGTCCGAATCGGTTCAAATTTTCAGGAAATCTAAGTTTAGTGAAGCCCTTTCGAATGGCACCAACCGCGATGAAATCGGTTCAACCGTTCAAAAGTTATAAGAGGTTTACATACTTACACACACATATATGGTAACCATTACCATGTTACATATAGTAACGGAAATTTTTGTGAGAACCCCGTGTAAATTTGCTAATAAAAATCTTAGAAATTGTGATAAAAATATAAACAATCACTCATTCGACGCGGAATTAAATTCTGAATATAATGGTGTTTTTTTTTTTTTATTTTTTTGATGAAAATTTCAATTTGTTATTAACAAAAAACATAACCAAAATAAAAAATCTCAGTTTTTTGTAAATAACTCAATAACTATTGGTGATATTAAAAATCGGAAAAAAGATCTTTGAAGAGGAGGAAATTTCTGAAAAAAAGTTTCGACTCCTGGAACTGTAGCTTAAAAAACAATAATTTTTAATTAATGTTGAAAATAGGGTTCCGCACAACTGTCGTCGTATTTCAGCATCGGCGCGGTCATGTGACAAAAGTCGCGCGGAACCCTATTTTCAACATTAAATAAAAATTATTATTTTTCAAGCTAGAGTTCCGGGAGTCGAGACTTTTTTTTCAGAAATTTCCTCCTCTTTAAGGATCTTTTTCCGATTTTTTATATCACCAATAGTTATTGAGTTATTAACAAAAAACTGAGATTTTTTATTTTGGTTATGTTTTTTGATAATAACAAATTGAAATTTTTATCAAAGAATAAAAAAACAACACCATTATATTCAGAATTTAATTCTACATCGAATGAGTGATTGTTTATATTTTTATCACAATTTCTAAGATTTTCATTAGGAAATTTACATGGAGTTCTCACAAAAATTTTCGTTACTATGTAACATGGTAATAGTTACCATTCTACATAGGAATAAGTTCTATTCTTTTCTCTCCGTGAGTAGGTAATTACCTCCAAATGTACATTACCGTTTTTGAGCAGTACTTATTGTATGAGAAACTTTTTGACTAACGTCGATTTTAAAATTATTACGTAAAGTATCCGATACATTTCAAATTAATTGTTTTGACTTATCAACAGTTAAATATAAAAAAAGTTCGATTCATAGTATTTCAATATGACAATTAAATCAACATATATCTGAAAATTTTTAGGATTTCTTTAACATATACATCATCAATCCATTTCGCATTTGAAAATTGGAGAACGTCGTTTTTTGTAACTGTAAACAAAATTCTGTAATCGTATATACACTTTCCACCAAAGCTTTTCGGTATTGTCTACGACAGTAAAGTGTTTAGTCATCGTATTGTAATTTTCATATTACTACCAATATATTTATTCACTTTATAGCAATAAATATCAGTATGTATGTTATCTTTCCAATATTCCATCGAGTTTAATCATGAGTAAATAAATTCATAACTATGAAACGTAATCAGATTTTATGAAGAATTAAATACTTTTTAATAATTTTACTTATAAAAGTTATTCACATTTTACATTTAACGATTCTTTTATTTTTCATTTTCAAAGTTGAATTTTCAAATGTTCCCGGGAGAATTGAACTCACGTCGGTAAATTATTATTAGCCAATAAAATAAATCCGAGCAAGGCGTCGACTAGGATAAGGAGGACATGAAAAATATTACAATAATAACAACCGTAATACTATCTATCTATGACGCAGATAGTATGTGAGTAGATACAGATATACAATAAGCAAAAGAAAGAGAGGAGTAAGCCAGAGTAAAATAAAAATAAGTGTAATGTTGAATGTCAATGTTCTATACGTCAGAATTACAATATGGACGAACAGCATCGGCTTGATGATTTTCAATCGTAACATAATTGTAAAAAAACTCTACTAAAAAACTTTTACAAATAAATATGTCGGATTACTTAAAATCGGCGTTTGGATATTTAAATGGTACTACTGGTACTAACGAATATGTGGGACAAGTGTTAGAAATAAATAATGTAAAATTACGAGTAAATAGATTAATTGCTGAGGGTAAGTGTTCACCACCTATTATTTTTAATAACAATAAAAAAATATTTATTACTGATAGTATTGAACTTGTCATTCGGTAATTAATAAGTTAAAGAATTGTTTAAATCTAAAATATCACTTAGATTATTTTAATTCATTATTGATCATTACTTAATTTGTAAAACAATTGTTATTATCTGAAATGTAAGTAGTTTAATATCAATTTTTAAATTATAATTTTATTGCAATAAATTATTTTTAAAGCAATTCAAGCAATAGTGATAGTTGAATTGGTCAAGACTTATATCGTTCATTGTTCATATACATTGTAATGCTCTAAAAATTATCAAGTGAAAGTTTCAGTAAAGTTGTTTTTTTTTTTTTTTTTTTTTTTTTTTTTTTGTATTTTATAGGTTTTTTAAATTTCTTTGTTATTGTTTTGTGAAACATTCAAAAACATTAAAGTAAAAATATAAGTAATCAAGTTGTTAATGGCATATTTTGTTACAAAAACAGGTGGGTGGGCGTTAGTTTTCGCAGTAGAAGATATTGCCACGGGTAAAGAGTACGCATTAAAGGTAGTTAATATTTAATATTTATTTACAAAAAATTATTATAAAACGTTGACACTTATAATGCAAAATACTTTTAATAATACAAAAATATTGTTACTTATAGAGACTGATAGCAGTAGATGAAGAAGCAAATAAAAATATTATAAAAGAAATAGAAACATTAAAAAAATTATCTGGGCATCCCAATGTAATTCAATACCTATGTGCACAACGAATTGAGCGAGAAGAAAGACGAGGATGTGAATACTTAGTAGTAATGGAATTGTGCCCTGGTGGTACTTTAGCTGATGTACTTCGTGGTACATCAACTAATTCTTTGACTCTACCTCAAGTATGCCGTGTGGCTTATCAAATAACTAAAGCAGTTCATCATATGCATACTCAACAGCCTCAACCAATTATACATTTTGACATAAAGTTAGAAAATTTTTTGTTTGCAAGTGATGGTCTCATTAAGTTATGTGATTTTGGCAGTTCTTCGACTCAACAAATATTACCGGATCCATCATGGAATGCTCAAAAACGTTCCATGTTAGAAGACCAAATGGCAAGATTCACAACACCTATGTATCGTGCTCCAGAAATGATGGATACTTGGAATAATGAACCTATTGGTCCACCAGTCGACTGTTGGGCATTAGGATGTATTCTGTACACTTTAGTTACTCTTCGTCATCCTTTCCCGGAAGGTATTTACGAACTATTAATTTTTCAATATTTTATTTTATTAAGTTTGTACAATTTATTTTATATATAATTTTATTATTTTTAGGTAATAAATTAGCAATCATCAATGCAAAATACTCACCACCAACTCCAAATCCTCGTTATGAATGTATTTATGAGTTGGTAAGAGGTTGTTTAGAACCGTCTCCTATAAAACGTATGACAACGTCAATTTTGTTAGAAAGATTAGCAGCTATTGCTGAATCAAACAATTTTGATCCAAGAGAACCTGCTAATATAGAAATAAAAGCTCCACCAGCACCACCGCCACGGATCTCTCCGCCTACACAACCGTCAACTGTAATACCAGCAGCAGCTTCCTCACGATCTACCCCGCCAGCTTCATCAGTACCTCAACAAATGCCTGCATTACATCGGCCTGTTCCAGCGCATCATCCACCTTCTAAAGTTCAAGGGATTCCAAGTTCCAGTCTTTTTAATTCCTTGAAAGGTGGTGCAGGCAGTATTTTTCGTAATCTCAAAGATACATCTAGTAAAGTAATGCAATCAGTGCAACAAAGTATGGCTAGAACTGAATTGGATGCTAGTTACTTAACATCACGTATACTAATAATGCCATATCCAGCCGATGGTATAGAATCTACGTATCGAGCTAATCATATAGAAGATGTACGAGCATTCCTGCAAACCAGACATCCTCCACCAGCAAAAATTCAATTGTACAATCTTTCTCGGGGTCGGCCAAATGTGACACGGCTTCCTGGAAAACACATTGACTGCACATTTGCTTATTCTTCCCCAGATTCTAATGCTCCACTTTTATCTGCTCTCTATCAAATTTGTCAAGATATTTATAGATATCTTGATGCTGACTTTAATCATATAGTGGTGCTATATTGTGTAGTAAGTATAATTTTTACTCTTACTTACAAATCAGCCAAATTTAACGATTAAATTTTTTGAATAATGCTTAATAATAATAATAATTTATTTTAGGATGGCTGTAGAGCAAGTGCAACAATCGCATGTGCTTTACTACTTTATGCCGGTGTCTTATCCAAGCCAGAGGAAACAATTGCACTTTTCACAACTCGAAGATGTCAACCACCTCAATTACAAGCATCAGAAATGCGATCCATAAATTATATGAGCATTTTACATTCTGGTGTTTATCCACATACAAGACCTTTAGCATTACGATCTCTAATATTACAACCTGTACCGTTATTTACTAGAGCTAAAGATGGATGTAGACCTTACATTGAAATTTATAGCAATGGTGCTTTTGTATTTTCAACAAAGAAACCCGAATATGAAGAAATGAAATTATTTGATATGATGGAGGGAAAAGCTTGTATAATAATTGGTGATGCTACTGTTCGTGGTGATGTTACTATTGTTGTATTTCATGCTAGACAACAGCTTGGCAGGGTAATTGGAATTAAAATAGCTTCACTACATTTTCATACGGGTTTTATTCCACTAAATGAAAGTGCATTAAATTTTGATAAAAAAGATTTAGATGATACTCCAGAAGTTGGAGGACAATTTCGAGTTATGCTTAATGTTATGGTTGGTGAAGATAATTTAAAACCATCTAGAATACCAGCCCCATGGGAAGTAGAAGTATCTCATGATGAAGACCTTAGGCCTGATCCGTTATTTGGTTCAACATTAGAAATGGAAGAAACACTTGAAAACTTTAGAACTCCAGGTAAAAGTAAAATACCACCAAGACGACCTTCTCCACCAATAATAAAACGTGAAACATCAAAAGAAGATACTTCGGAACAAATACCGTTGCATCAAGCAGAAGAAGAAGAAGAAGAAGACGAATACAATGACAATGACAATGATAATAATAAACAAGAAAAAGAAAAATATGAAAAGCTTCAAACAGAAGAAAGTGAAGTTATTAATTCACAACGCGATATTTTAACAGAAGCAGTTCTTTTAGATTTTGGAGGACCGTCATCAGGTGAACCTCCCTCAAAGATTTCTTCCGTAGGGCCTACTCCAAAATTAGATATATTTTCAGATGATTCAAAAGTTCAGAATGATTTATTTGGTAATTTTTCAACATTCAATAATTCAGTGACAACTGAAAATACACGAGGAGTTAATAAGTCAGTTTCAAATAATGTATTCACTAAAAGTAGTGGTAGTAATTCATCGAAAGATCAAACAGCTCAAAAAGGAACAGGTGATTTCTTGTTTGATCCTTTCGGTGGTAGTAGTTCAAATGATCTCTTGAGTAATTGGGCAAATACTGGAAAAACCTCTGGCCTAAAAACTCCAAATGAAGACAATTTTCCACGTAATTCAAGTGTACCAAATTTTGGAGCACAAAATAAAGATCCATTTGCAAATTTAGCTGGATCTTTGGGTGCAGGTCTCAATGCTAGTTGGAATGGTACGCCCCGAGATTCAAATACTCCACAATCGGCAAGCCCAGCAACTGCTGGTACGCCAATTCATTCTAGTCCGCGAATGCCCAATAAGGCTAGTGCGCCTACTGAGAGTAATAATATAGATTCATCAATCTTTAATAATAAACCAGCTAATAAGCATACTGATGTATTTGAAGATCTCCTTGGTAGTCAAGGATATAATTTCTTTAGTTCACGAAAAGCTGATAAAGACAGCCCAAAGACTATTAATGAAATGAGAAAAGTTGAAGCTGCTAAAACAATGGATCCAGACGTATTGAAAGTATCTGAGTGGACTGAGGGTAAAAAGGGAAATATTAGAGGACTTTTGTGTTCACTACATACTGTTTTGTGGCCAGAAGCTGATAGATGGCAACGATATGAAATGCATCAGCTCGTTTCACCTGCAGATGTGAAAAAATCTTATCGAAAAGCATGTTTGGCGGTTCATCCAGACAAGGTAAATTGAAAAAATATTTTTTTTTTTTTTTTTTTTTTTTTTTTTTTTAAGTGTAAATTTAATTATACTTATCGTTTTTTTTTTTTTTATTGTTATTTCAGCAATCTGGAACTGCCAATGAAAATATTGCAAAGCTCATATTTATGGAATTAAATAATGCTTGGAGTGCATTTGAAAATGATGCATCACAACAGAATTTATTTAGTTAATTAGATTAAAAGAAAAATGATTATAATTTAAAGAAAAAAGGTGTTTAAATATTTTTGATCTATACAAATACATAGATATATATTTTTCGTTGTTCGTCTTACGAGTAAAAACTCATTTTGCCAACTTTGCGCACTTGTTGTATTGCTATTCTCAATGCATAAAATAACATTTATTACATTCCAACAATTAAATGATATTATTATTAGCTGTAACTGCGATATCTATCTGATTGCATTACAGATTTTACAAATTATTTAATAGATATTTCAATTAATATCGAACTATATAAAAATCTATGTATTTTAGTTTTGATTTTAAAAAATGTTAAATTAATCTTAACATCCTAGAAGAAAATAATCACTATATGTCAATACATGTATATAATGAAATGTAAATTTAATAGATTCCCGAATATATGAAAATATTTTCTGGATGATGATAAAAATTTCAATCTATTATTTAGTCCTATCCATTTAATATATATTTTTATTAATTTTATTTTACATAAAATTTATATTCTGTGGTAGCGTACAATTATAAAACTGAAAAAATCGATCATATTTTTCAAAAATATTTATTTCTATTTATTTCTATTAAGAAAAAAATTCATCAGTGAGGTCATATCAAGGGTAAAAGAATATAATATAAGTGCTCCGTACTCCCAAATTCTCTAATAAAATTAATCAGATTGTATTTTTTATTCACAGAAAAATACACAAAAATTGAATTTCATAATTTATGATAAATGCGGAAAAAAACATTATTGTTCTGAAAAAATATATGCTAAAATTTATGTGCATTTAAAAAAATACCTTAAATTTATTGAAATAGAGAAAAAAAAAAAGATAGTCATTTGCTGTCCCTACTGGCTACTAGTAGATCAAGTATTTCTATGACGTTGGAAACCTCAATCACGCACGCGTATGTCCTAATCTGAGGGTTGGTCTGTTCAGATATCTATGCCGCGGGATACAACAGTCAAGGGTTGATTTGTAAGGGAGGGGCTGCCCGAAAATGGCTGACACGCACGGTACAGAACGTCCAAAAGAGGACGAGTGACGGTAACAATCTTTTTGTCTTCCATCGCATTGACCAATTGACATTGTTTTACTTTCGATAATTATTATGCTGGTATCAAAGAGTTATTTGCGTGGAATTTTTAAACCACCCCCAGTCACTACAGTTCCAATCAACTGTGTTAAGAGGTAATTTTTACTTTTGTTATCTTATCTTTATTATTGCTGTAGTCAAATTTAAGTGTATTGTCATTTATATTTTCTTCAATGATTTTTTCCGTTTTTTTATATAAATTATTTGTAGACATATTTTTTTTTTTTGTATTTCTATATACATAAGAGGTCAAGAATTTTTTTTTATCATGACAATGTCGTACTATATGTCATGAAAACACCCGAGAGATTTTTAAGTCAGTTGTTAACTCGTTAATTAGTCGTGAATTAATCTACACATACACATCTAGTTTTTGAATTTTATTTATCACACGGTTCATTAATAAATAAATAATAGCAGTATTAAACAAATATACTGATATAAATTATTATTATTATTATATTTAGTATTAACATAATTTATTTAAACTACATATTATTATATATTCTTCAGATTAAAAGTAAACCAAAATGATGTAGTACAAAAAAAGTAAGCAAAGTAACAAGTTAAGGAGACGGGGAAAATGCGTGGTATCTCACTGAGGCTGGTGTTGCTTTTATTATTATGGATAGTAAGTCCAGATTGTTTAGCGAATACTAACAAAACGGAAAGAGCTACTAAAAGTCGATCAAGATCATCTTGGCGCTTAGTGATATGTCTGTCGCATTCTCAGTCTCCAACGAGAACGGACGTCCAACAAGCATGGGAACAAGCAAGACTGGAGTCTATTCACAACGATTTGGAATTGTCATACATCGAAGGGCGTATGACATCATTATCAGACTCACAGTCAAATCCATTGGCTCTTATCAATAAATTTTGTACGGCTATTGAAGATGGAAGAATTATATTAAATCTTGTTATTGGTGGAGGAGCCGCTGCAAGATTTCTTATGACAGCTGGTGCTTCCCTTAATATTCCATCACTTTGGTTACCACTAACACACAGAGACTTTCTCAGACAGGTGAGTAATATATACAAAATTTTTAAAAATTAATTAATAATATATACAAATTAAAAAATAATAATTATTCAAAATATAATAAAAAAAAAAAATGTTTACAACATTTACAGGGTAAGCTTGGACGTTTTGAAACTCGACTTGGTTCTGGATCTGAACAAATGGGTGCGGCTGCTATTGCATTGATGGATAAAGCACACTGGCATGCATTTACACTTTTTATTGATACAACACTATTACCAATTCATCATTTTGTACCTAAAAATCATGATAAATTACTACCAAGAAAAACAATTTATCTACCGACTAGTGAAAAGAGTCTCAAATTAAGACTGAGAAAAGTTTCTGATGAAGGTGGAAGTGGCAGCGTAATTGTATTAGCTTGTGATTTAAATGAAGCTAAAAAAATTTTCATTATTGCCAACAAATATCAAATGCTCAATGGTCGATTTCTCTGGTTATGGCTGGATTTAAAATCGGAATTAAGACCTAATGAACCGAGTTTAATTAATTCTAATATTATGTATAGTTCTTTAACGTCATCATCAGTTAAAATAGAAAATAGTCCACCAGTTAATATGAGAACGACAAGACATACGAGTGGTTATTTTTTAAATGATAAAATCCATTTACCTTCATTGTCTAATTTAGCAAATGACATTCATAATCTTCAGGAATATCAGTGGTGGGGTGAAAAGCCAATAAAAAAACGTGAAGATAAAACATTTACGTTTGACGATGATGAAGAGGTGCGTATGAGTGATAAAAATCTTAATTCAAAAACTTTTATGCCCGTCGGTATGCTCGCTCTCAGGCCATCGAGCATGAGGATAGCCGGTGGTGATGCTTTACTATCACGAATGTTAAGAGAAACGTCTCAAGCACTAGATAATACTTTTTTGGAGTATAAATCGTCGTTAAATCGCTTAAGGGACACGCAGATAAAAGAGTACTTTTTTTCCACATGTTTTTTTACATCAGATAATACATCAATTCCCGAGATAAAAGAAAATATTTCTAAAAGTTTGACTAAGAAATTGAGAGAATCAATGCGCCAGATATCTCATGACAAAGCAGAATTTCAATTATTAAATTTACAAGCTGTACAATTTCCGGGAAATAAAACTCAGTTAAGGTAAATTATATTTATAATATTAATATTAATTATTTATTTATTTAGATATAAATTATATTTTAAACTACTATTTAACAGATGGACTAAAGTTGGTTCAGTGAGAGGAGGTAAAGACGTTAGAATAGATACAATAACTTGGCCAGGAGGTGGAATAGTGCCTGCTTACATGAAACAGAATGGGGAAAAAGTTGGAATGCCGTGGTATCAAATTGTAACAGCAATTGCCCCACCATTTATTATGGTAACAAATTTGCAACAGCAACTGTGCTTAAGAGGATTACCTTGTCGTAAAGGAGATACAATCAAATGTTGTTATGGTTTTACCATAGACTTATTGTCATTGATTGCCAGAGAATTAAATTTTCGTTTTGATTTATATATTGCACCAGATGGCCTGTTTGGCAGAAAAAATGGACTCAACGGCACCTGGAATGGTGTAATTGGAGAATTATTACATGGTCGAGCTCAATTGGCTTTTGCGCCAATAAGTGTCTCAGCAAGACGTGCAGAAGTTATTGACTTTACAATTCCTTATTATTTTAGTGGTGTTAGCTTTTTAGCTGCTCCAAAAACTAATTCCCATATTTCACTATTGGCATTTCTGTTACCTTTTAGCACCAATTTATGGATTGCGATATTTACATCACTCAATGTTACAGCAGTTGTAGTTGCACTTTTTGAATGGCACAGTCCATTTGGATTGAATCCATGGGGTCGACAGCGTAATAAAAATTTTTCAATGGCCTCAGCACTTTGGGTTATGTGGGGATTACTTTGTGGACACCTTGTAGCCTTTAAAGCACCCAAGTCATGGCCTAACAAAGTTCTTATCAATGTATGGGGTGGATTTTCGGTAATCTTCGTAGCCTCTTACACCGCTAACATAGCTGCTCTTATAGCCGGTCTTTTTTTCCATTCATCAGTCAGTAACTATCACGATCGTAGTGTAAGTATTATTATTATTATTATTATTATTATTATTATTATTATTATTTTTTTTTTTTTTTTTTACTTCTTTATTTTATGTCATACTTAGAAATACTCTCGCTGGTAAGCGTATAGATTAAATTGAAAAGAAACGAAAATTTTGTTTAAGCATGACCATCAATTTCAAAAATAATCAAATGGGAGAAATCATAAAAATTTATAATTACCATTCTGATGAGGTTTTTTATGCATTACATAATCTGGACATTTATATTTTTAACAGCTATTATTACAAAAGGTCGGCGCACCACGAGCGTCAGTTGCAGAATATTATGTGCAAAAAGCCAGTCCTGGGTTATGGACTCATATGTCTCGCTTTTCTCTCTCGGATGTTGCTGAAGGCGTTGAACGATTACTTAATGGCAGCTTAGATATACTGATAGCAGATACACCAATATTGGATTACTATCGAGCGACCGATGATGGCTGTAGACTGAGTAAGATCGGTGAAACAATTAGTGAGGATACATACGCTGTTGCTTTGACCAAGGGTCATCCTCTTCAAGAAAGTATTTCGAAGGTCATTGCAAATTATACAGCTAACGGCATGTTAGATATTTTACAAGAAAAATGGTAAGAATAATTATTTTTGTCAGATATAGAAAAAATATTAAATGGATATCTTAAAATATCTATTCGATTATTTATTTAAGGTATGGAGGCCTACCATGTATTCCCGGACAAGAAGGAAGAGACGCAGTTTTTGGTTCAGGTTCTGGAGGCCACCCCCGACCTCTTGGTGTTAGATCCGTAGCGGGAGTATTTTGTTTATTGGGCTTGGGTATTGCCGTGGGAGGAATTATACTTGTGGGAGAATATTTGTTTTTTAAATACACCCTACCAAATTTACGACATAGACCGAAAACTTCTATTTGGCGAAGCCGCAATGTTATGTTTTTTTCACAGAAACTTTATAGGTTCATAAATTGTGTGGAGCTGGTATCACCTCGTCATGCAGCTAGAGAGTTGGTTCACACCGTAAAGCAAGGTCACATAACATCGTTATTTCAAAAAAGTGTTAAAAGGGTATGTATTAATGTATCTACAGAACTAGCCGTGATATTATTTGACCTACAAGGATTCCTTGTTGCAGAAGGAACATGAGCGGCGTCGACGTAAGAGCAGAGGCCAATTCTTTGAGATGATTCAAGAAATTCGTCGGTAAGTTTTATCATATTTTAAAATTCTAATTTACATTAGAGTCGTTAAATTATCAACGGACTTTAATAACCATTAAGTGCCTCTAGAGTACAACAAGAAGTGAAAGATGATGCTAATGCAAAGGAATTGGAAGCAACTCGAGCAGCCAAAAAAGAAGAAAAAAATACTAAAGAAAAGGAACGTAGTCGAAGTAAAAGTCCACTGATGCCTTTAAGCCCTAAAAGACCCGAAAAAAGTAGAAGCTCAATAAATTTGTCCAGCTCTCGACTTGGTTTGTCGCCAGTTAATTTCGATACACCGATGAAACCCCGTGAGTTTACATTAAGCAGTACAAATCTTAGGGTACGCAGTCCACTCGAAACAGTAGGAAGAAGATTGAGTCACGGAGATGATGGATCACCGCCACCTCGCCTCAGTACACCCAGTTTTGGTGGAAGTGCAACTCTAAGGCCAGCACCTATTAAATCAGATTCCATTAGTGGTGGAGTACCTACTCCAAAGTACTCACATAGTCCCGCAAAACGAGGTCAGTCTTTTCCAGCTTTTGCAACTCTCAAACGACCACCTCCACCACCAACAACAGCATATCCATCTAGTAGTCATCATGTGATATCAAAAAGTCCTCTTTTATCACCAAACAATGAGCAATCTGCTGTAATCGGCCGCAAGCTGTCTAGAGAATGGGGATCAGGAACAATTGATCTAAGTCGATCCTCGGAAGCAATCGGGTCTTTATCTACATATAACCTCAGTCAAGAGAATACATTCAATACTGAGAGGCCAACACGTAAAAAGAGTCAAGAAGATCTCTTGGCATTAAATAAAAAGCCTGTGAGACGTGCGCGTAGTCATGAAAATCGTGATACAAGTGGTAAATCAATCAATAATTCACCATCACCAAGACTAATGGCTCAACCCTCAGTAGGGGGTAGATCTGTCAGTGAACGTACGAAGAAACAACTCGAGTCAGAGCTTAAAGCTATTTTGACTGCTAGAGCACATCATCGGGATCTACATCCTCCTTGATAGGTAAATAAAATTTTACACTGGCGTCAGTTAAAAGCGACAAGATCTTAATATCGCTGCCTCTGAGGGGCTTTCATTGATTTAAGCAATATGAGATTTATAGGTCAATTTATAAACGATCTGGCAGTTTAAAAAAAATAAAATACTGTATATATGTATATGTGTCTGTATATATAGATACATACATATACACATATAAATTGTTCTTATACCAACGTACTGCAGATGCGTTTGATGAGATATATATAACTTTACAATGATATAGGTAGCCTTATTTAAAGAGTCGAAAGAATATCTTCAAGGAAACTTATGATAAGTCAAAAGGCTTTCTGATTCGTTAATATGTTGTTATATAATTATTAATATAGAATGTATTATTAATTAATTAATTAATTAATTAATTAATGAGAAAAGAAGAAAAGCTATAAACGTTTTTTGTAGAATGTGTCTTAAAGAAAAAAAAAAAGATTACGTAGAACGTTTTCCTGTTATTGGCAATTTTAACTCTACAACAACTGTTTGCCTACTCAAGTCTCATGTAATAATCAAATAATTCATAACGTAGTTTTAAAAATTATATTTATAAAATGTGCCAAATAGTTTTATTCTATTTTATAACATACATCTATCATTAATTGTCATGAGTATTAAAATATATAAATAGATTAAGTTTTTAAAGTCGTGATATTTTAATTGATACATTATCATGGTCAATATTTAAATATTAAATATAAATTTTATGAAAGTTCTCAGGTCCATTAGTTCTTTCGAATTGGACCGCACACTGCCATCAGTTTTAAAGTAATTTCAACTAATATTATCAAAGAGACTTGATATAGTTGGCTGAACAGCGTAGAAAGACCACTAAAAATACGTGTATTCTTCAATTCACCCGCTATTGAGGAAAAATATATATTACTATTAGGAGCATTTATAAAAGTACATTTTTTCTTACAGATTGAGAGGATTGAAAAATAAATTATAATCTTTCATTATAAAATAACTGTTAAAACACGCACCTGATGATATAAAAAAATTTAATTCAAAAAGAAACAAAAAAAAAAAAAAAAAAAATAAGCAAAATTTTAAAAATAGATAAATGGTATTGTATTATCAATAAATGTTAGAAAAAATTTGGAAATTCAGTTCTATCCAATCAATCTGATTGAATCATATTGTTGTGCTGAAATGGGAATTTTAATTGGAATTAATTATTGGATTTGAATGATAAATAAATTTATTTAGATAGATTGAATTTTCTTGACTCCCTCTATTCTATCTTGAATAATTAAATAATTTCGGTAGTAGTGACTAATATATTATTTAGTTAAAATTCCAAGTGTATTTACCTATTAAAATATTAGAATATGTATGCCTGGGACTAAATAGTATAATCTAAATATTCATTTGGAATAACTCATGAGCGAGGCCTTAGTAGTAGTCGAATATATATCCGCCCGATTTTCATTAGATAATTATTGTTATTCGATTCTTTATCTATACAATCACTATAAAATGTTATACATTGCTTTATTTCATAGTTTATCAATTATTAAATAATAATAATAATAATAATAATAATAATAATAATAATAATATTAATATCTAATCTTAAAAGCTCGAACAAGAACTAGATTCGTGCACATACTTAGCTTTTAATATATTCAATCAGTTTAATTGATTGATTGATGTATAATATAAAATCCAAAATTTTACTTGTTATATTTTTAAAAATAATAGTTTAAAGATAATTCAATAGGAATTCGTGGTGTTTATTAATACGTAAATATATTTTTATTTGTCCCTTAAAAGATAATATTGATAACAGTATTCGATCATTTGTATGTAAATTGCATATTTAAATTTTCATAAATGTCTATAAACTCGTATAAAATCAACGCAAAAAAATTTTAATATTTTTAATTATTATATTCATTAATAGTGCCAAATTCATTTAGTTAAGTAATTATAATTTTAAAATAAAAAAATTTTATTTTGAAACAAGATTATCTACTTAAAATCTCTTAGAAATAGTTTAAATAATGGGTATTAATTAACTTTAATATAGTATGTGATACGAATAAATTCAACTTTTGCATTTGATATATTGTAAAACTATTGGTTTTACATACTTTAATAAATTAAAAACTTCCATGATTGCCGTATTAGAAATTAAAAAAACTTGCCACTGAGCTAAAACTTTTTTTTAACTATTTTTCAGTATATTTTTTAATTAAAAATTCTTAAATTTTAGTTTGAAAGAAACTATAGAAATAAAAAAAAATTCAACAGAGAGTAATAACTTTTCTTCATGAAAATAAGGCAATGACTAGTAAACTAAAGATGAAATGGTTAAACATGATTATGTTAGAATTGTCAGTCATTCTTGAACGATGATATCCTGTTCAATTTAGACGGGTTACATTATTTTAAAATTATAGAAAAATATCTCAATTTGGTAGTTTTATATTATTAGTTTACTATTGACTTTATTTGTTAAATTTTTTCGGTACAGTAATTTTTCATGTAATTTTTTCATTACAGTAATGTAATATTGCTACACTCGTGCAAAAATAATTCACATCCAATTGAATATTGTCTTATTTTAGAGAATAAAAAAATATATGTTGATCTAACTATAACAATAATTTTATCTCAAAATCCGATAGATCTACGCAGATCAAAACCATCTTCTTTGAATAGTTATGTGTGTGTAGAGCAAACTAAAAAAAAAAAATAAAAAAAGAAAACGAAAATGCGGATATTTATAAAGGCGATCGAAATACAAATTATAATGGGCCGAGCCTAAAAAATCAAAGATAGAGTTAACTATCCATCTATAATAATATAAATAATAATAATAGTTCTATGAATTCCTCAAACTGGAGGTGGTCAATCTGTGATTCGATCAGGTGGCTGTTTCGTTTTTCCTGGTTAGGAAAAATAATTAACAAAATAACTTTCAAATTGAAATCTGTCCTCTTGAATAATTAAATCGATATTTTGTTCAACAATGACTACTACAGTCTTTCGTGATAAATATTTTAACCTTGTACATATAATAACGCGACGAAAAAAAATAATAAATAAATGAATAAATAAAAAATAATTATATTTACTGGTTGAGTCTTCACATAATATCACCACGACTCTGAATCAAAGATCAATTGTCTTAGCAATCTCTCTTTGTGCGCCAACAAGAGAATAAGTTAAGCCTGTATATAAAATACAAACACGAAAACAAGATAAGGGCTTTTGATAATATTGTTATCGTCTGTGAAAACTATTTTAATCCACATTCTTACAAAAATGTCCCTATTCGTGAAAACATAAGTTTCAATTAATAGTAAAATCATGGGATGAAATTATTTGTTTTTTAAACAAAAAATAATTAGAGAAAAAAAAATTAATTTTAATTATTAAATTGATTCTTTTTAAGTATAAAAAAGAAACGGCCTATTGAATTGACATAATTTGAATTGCTTGAATAAATGGAATATGATTTTTTATTTCTGTTGTCAAAAAAAAAAATATCATATATAATTTTAATTGTTTATATACTTATACATTCGAAATTTTATCGTCCTAGAAATTACTAGTCAAATTTCGTTTTATTTAACTAATTATAATTATCTTTAACAGCAGTATTATTTCTATCAAAATAAATTGAGATTATCATTTAGTTTCACGGTCACTTGAATTTTTTTTGTTGAAAAATCAAAAAATTAACATTTTTAAATATTTTTATTCTTAAATTATTCTATTTTATGGGCTGATTTAAGATAATAATTATTGAAATAATCAAAAAAGAATTTTTCAACTACTTTTAAAGCTTTTAATAATAACAAAAATTTTATGTCGACCAAAAATCGTTTGTAAAAAGTGTCAACGTAATTTTAGCGATTTTTTCCGTATTCTACGTGTACAAATAAACAATTTAAATGAACAAGTTTTGGTTGTTTCAGTAATTTCCTTTTTTTTTTTTATTTTTTTTTTTTTACATTTATTTTATCATTGTCAGACATTTTTTTTTTTTTTCAATCAAAAAATTGATATTTAAAAATTTTTTTTCATGTTCTATTTCTGATGAACTTGAAAAAAAATATGTGATTGTTAATTTAAAAAAAGTTCTGAATATCATTTTTATAGTTTGGAGTATTGTTGACCGTGAAATTACAAAATTACCTAATATGTAAAAAATTTTAAAAAGTATTCTTGTAAATGGCAATAAACATTAAACACTGCCCTATTAATTATATTATTATTGATCATCATTTAAATAAACTTGTTAATTAGTTAAATTGGAGGATTTAATTTATTCATTAACTAAGAAAAATAAATAATTAACAAAAACAGAAAACGAATCGCATGATAAATTGAACCAAAAAATAAAAAATAAAGAAATTTTATATTTGTAAGTTAATGTTAGATGACAAAAAATATGTAACTGTAAAAATTCGTTTTTTAGTACATTAAAAATTTTTAATCAAAATGACATTATTATAAATTTTAATTTCATGCGCTCAATAAAATTGGCGCTCTTAATGAGAATTAAAATAAAATAAATTATGATAAGAATAATTTTAATAATAACAATAAAAATACTATTAATAATATAAATAATATTGATAACGTATTTTATTTAAATTTAAATATTTTTAACACAAAACGAGCTTTAGTTCATTGATATTTGATTGTATATATATTTTATTTAAAATAAAATAACATTTAATTACTATTATAATTGAAACTCGGACGGTGGATCAGATGAAAAAATAAGCAATTAAATACAAATAATATAAGAATTGAATGAATATGAGCAAAGTATAAATTTAGAGTAATAATTAAACCATCGTAAAATCAAGTAAACTTGTTGGCGTACGTAATCAAATTAGGTTCCGTGCAACCTACCTCGTCTCTATTGTTACGCCTACTATACTCATACTGTTATTGTTGATCCAGATTCATTAATAAGAAATAATAAAATATATTATCTCAAGACTCCTTTTTTTTTTTTCTTCAAATTAAGTAACAACCCAATTATAAAAAAAATTTTGATTTATGAAATTCTAAATATTAATAATCATTAATGTAGATTACTTTTAATAAAATAAAATAAAAAATAATACGTGTAAAATTAATTTATCGTTTAATTTCTTATTTTTAAGAGTCAAGTTTCACTTGAATTTCAGTCAGGAATAATGATGAGATGATTCAATTCTTTGTGAGTTAATTAAAACATGACACTGGTCCAAAAATTTACACATACAGAAAAGCTGGAAAGATTAAAATCATTATCATTATATCTCCTAAATACTACAGAAGTAAATAAAATAAATACTTGAACACTTATTTTTTGAGAAGATATTCAAATCATGATTACCCAAAGTAAGAAAAATCGATTGATTAATTTAAAGTAAATAACAGTATTTAATTGAGACAGATATAAATATAATTATTTATAACTATCCATGGTTTATAAAAAGTATCACTTCATAATAATTTTTTTACTTCCCGATAAATAAAAAAAAAAAAAACTGTATAATATCTATTAGTTCAGAAATTGTTGCTTTCAGTAAGATTTAAAAAAAATTATATTTTTTGAAAAGCTGTTCTAATTATTTTCAGAGTAGTGTTTAGATTGACATTTCTCACATACGATAAATTCTCCTACACGAAAAATTCTTTGTCCGAAAATAACGTAATAATTTTTGTTGAAAATATCGTTAATGATGTATTTTGAATAATGAGAATAGTAATAAATAAATTTTTCAATTATAAAATTGATAAAATCTATTCAAACAAATGTTTACTATTTCTTTTTTTTTTTTTGCATTCTACACGTGAAAATAAATAACTTGAACAAAAAATTTTTTTAAATATTTGATACTCTAAAATAACATTTCAATAATTAATTTAAAATATTTTTTTTTCTATTTCAAAAAATTTATATTTATGAAAACTTTTTTTTGATGTTCTATTTTTGATAAGCTTTAAGAAAAAAAAGTGAATGTTTAAAAGCAATTAAATTTTATGGTCATAATTTCATAAATCTTTTGTTATGAAAGATGAAAAAAATATTTAACGTATGACCGAAAATGTTATCAGTTAATTTTTTAGTTAAGTCATTAATTGAACGTCCTAAAAAATACGTTAAAATATTGTACACGCATAATATAAAAAAAAGTGTCATGTAAGCATGAATTGCTAGAAAAAGAGCTATCATTTATAATTAATATATCCGTGATAATTGATAATAACTATACAATTTTAATCTTTCCAACATACATAATTAACACTAACTATTGAAAAAATATTCATAACTAAACAAACACTCAAAATTATTTTTATTTTTCAATTAATAATGTGATGTGACATTTTTAATGAGACATTTAAATTTTAGCGTGAATTTCAGTTATGTAATTACTATGAAACAGTCATCAAATTGTGTTTATATATATATATATATACATTGTTGCTTCTATAGGCATTAAGATTGAAATTTTGTTATTAAAAATAAAAAAATGTTTTTTAATTTTTGTACCCGTTTCGTAAACGAATTTATTGGTTCGGCAACTTGCTTTATTTAAGTGAAAGATTACAATCTAATCAAAGTAATAGTATAAAAAGTGAAAAATACATATTTGTTTTTTATGACAAAATGATCAATCAGTCGTAAAATACATATCTTTAATTTTTTAAAAAAGTTTCTTCTGAAATGAGCTTTGTGAGGAATGACAAATTAATTACAATAATAAAAAAAATTTCGAATTTTAGTACCATAAATGATAATTGAAGTATTGTTTCATTAAGTGTTAATTTTTAATAAATTTTAGAGGTTACACATGGCATTAAATAAATCATATAAACTAATAATTTTCAATAGTTCAGAAATTTTTAATAATGTATATAGTAGTAATCTTTTAAATTTAGATAATTGAATAAGTTTATAATTTCAAGTTTTTCTCAAATTTTTATTAATTTTTTCTTAATATACTATTTCAAATAATATTTATTTATTACTCCAATTTCGTGATTAATTGTAATTATAAATTTTTAGAATGTGTACATAATGTTTTATTACAAAACTAATTACTGACAGTACTGATTGAAATTTAATTTGTGAATTTTATGCTAGTTCATAAAACTATAAAGTACTTACATACACGAAATATTTTGTTGAAATAATTATTGTGGTAAGTTTTACATTTTATGTTATGTTATGTACCTACAAATATTTACAAAATTCATAACATTTTTAACCTCATATTTGAAGTGTTTTTTTTTTTAAACAATTTCCATTCACAGATTGAAACTAATAATAAAGTTAAAAATCCATAAAAATTAACTTTAATATTGAATTAATAAGAAAAGAAAATTAAGAGATTATAATGAAAATATTGTTATAATAATAATAATAATACTTACAATTAAAGTAAATTTTTATAAACATAACTTGAAGAGGTTATGTTAAAAATAAAATTTTATATAATTTTACATGCATTTATAAGTTTGTAAATATAAATATGTGCATCAATAAATTAATTTTATGTTTGTTATTTTTGTTATTTATACTATAATACTTTAATTATATGACAATAGATATAGTAAAATGATTTTAGACAGGGGTGAATTTAAACTATATACCTTGTTACTTATTACATGAAATCTCATTGGATTTTGTGACATAAATTTTCCTATTCGAATTTATGTCGTGATAAAAAATCACACATTTAATTGATAATAGTTGAAAAAAAATAATTACATTAAATAACGTAAACATAAAAAAAAAAACTCTAAATTTATATTATTTTAGTAATAATAATACCGCACTACAGTAATTAATTTTTATTTAAAATTTTAATATATTGCAATTGTGAACTTAATTAATTTTTATTTTTATTTTTGATTTTGATTAATAAAATTTATTTGTTATTAGTTTTAATGGATGAAAAAAAAGATAATACATCAGAAGGAGCAACTCATACTGAAAATGGAAACCAAAGTAAGGAACGGATTTCATGTTTCAATTTTGATGGCGAAGGGGATTGGGAAAATATCTTGAAAAACGAAAAATATGGATCGTATGGTGATATGACATTTTGCATGGCTGATCATATTAAAGAAACAATGCAAATGACGTTTATGATGCGTAGTCATCACATGCTTACCGATGTATGTCTCGAAGTAGGAACTGAATTATTTTATGCTCATAAAATTATTTTAGCTGCAGCTAGTCCTTACTTTAAAGTAAGTATATTCTATAAGTTTTTATTCATTTGAAGGAATAATTTAATTATTATCATTTTATAATTTATTTTTATAATAGGCAATGTTTACGGGAGGATTAAGAGAGTCTGGAATGAGTAGAGTGAAACTGCAAGGTGTTTGTCCTACAGCTATGGCGAGATTAATGTTTTTTATGTACACCGGACGAATTAGAGTTACTGAATTGACAGTTTGTACGTTATTACCAGCAGCAACTATGTTTCAGGTATTTATTAAAATTTCAAATTAAGTCAGCTAGTTACAATGTTAGTAAAATAATATAATTTGAGTTAATATTAATGTTACAACTTTTAGGTAAACAATGTCATAGAAGCATGTTGTATATTTTTAGAGCGACAACTCGATCCAACAAATGCCATAGGTATTGCTAATTTTGCTGAACAACATGGGTGCAAAAATTTACATCATAAAGCAAATCAATTCATTGTACAACACTTTAGTCAAATTTGTCATGAAGAGGAATTTCTCCAACTATCAGCTATCCAATTGATATCACTTGTACGAAAAGATGAACTTAATGTACAAGAAGAAAGTCAGGTTTATAATGCTGTATTAAAATGGGTCATGTATAATGAGGAAGCACGAGGTCCTAAAATGGCTCATATTTTACAAGCTGTACGGTGTCAATATCTGACTCCAAATTTCTTACGAGATCAAATGAAAAATTGTGAAATTGTAAAAAAAGCTCCCGCATGTCGGGAGTATCTAGCTGAAATTTTCAAAGATCTCACACTACATAAAAAACCTATTGTTAAGGAAAGAACGCCAAATACTAAAAGACTAATATTCATTGCTGGTGGTTTCCTCAGACACTCATTAGATACACTTGAAGCATTTAATGTAGATGATAAAATTTATACTGAACATGCAAAATTGATCGTACCGCGATCAGGATTGGGTGGAGCATTTTTAAAAGGAATGTTTTATGCTATTGGGGGAAGAAATAATTCACCCCAAACAAGGTTTGTATTTTATTAATATTTTTTCTTCAAGTTATATTTCTTTTTATTCATTTTTTTTTTTCGTTAATTTTTTTTAAAGGTATGACAGTGATTGGGTAGATAAATATGATCCTATAGCTAATAAGTGGAGGCCTTGTAAAGCTATGACAGTACCTAGAAATCGTGTTGGAGTTGCTGTGATGGATGGCTTATTATATGCTGTTGGTGGAAGTGCTGGGGCTGAGTTTCACAATAGTGTTGAATGTTATGATCCAGAGCAAGATCTTTGGAAAAATGTAAAACCTATGCATGTTAAAAGACTTGGTGTCGGAGTTGCTGTTGTTAATAGGTAACATAATTACGAAATGTTTTGCAAAATTAAATTGATTATAATTGTTATTTATTTATTAATTTTTTTTATTATTTGAAAAGATTACTATATGCAGTTGGTGGATTTGATGGAGTTCAACGTTTATCCTCTGTAGAATGTTATCATCCAGAAAATAATGAATGGACAATGGTATCGCCACTGAACAATGGTCGTTCAGGTGCTGGAGTTGCAAGTCTTGGACAGTATATTTATGTAATTGGTGGATATAACGGAAAGCTTCAATTGAATTCAGTAGAACGTTATGACACAGAATCCGATAGATGGGAAGAAGTTAGTAGTATTTCGATAGCTCGTAGTGCACTAAGCGTTACAGTAATTGATAACAAGTTATATGCCATTGGTAATTTTTTTTTTTTTTTTCATTAATATTTTATTTTTAATTATACTAAGATACAAGTAATAATAACAATTATGTTTTTATATATTAAACAGGTGGCTATGATGGCAATGTATTTTTAAATATTGTAGAAATTTATAATCCCGCTTTAGATAGATGGGAAATAGGGATGCCAATGCCTTCTGCTAGATCAGGACATGCCAGTGCTGTTTCTTATTTCCAATGTCCGCTTCACTCTATGCGGACGGGTGGAAATGGATCAAAAAATGATGGGGAACCATCGTGACGTGCAAATTAAATTTTCAATTTTTTATATAGATATATATTTATTAATGTATAAATATAATTTTAAGTTTAATAATATATTATTTCTATGATGTATAAATTTATATAACAAATGAAATGAATTGATTTTTTTTTTTTATAAATATTAATATTTATAATAAATTTTCAATAACAGACAGTTGTTTATTGAAAATTGAACTTTTATTATTTTATAATATTAAATAACAAATCAAGTTACTTCATTAGCAATGTTTTTTCAAATATGACCTGAAACAAAATGAGAAAATGCAAGTGCTGCGGTCGTTCGGAGATTCAGTACAACCTATTTGTTATGAGTATAGATAGATAGTTTCGTTGATAAGCGTAATATTTTTAATTAAATTGTTGAACGATTATTGTGTCAAAGTAACGTTATTATCTTATTATCTAGGATTGAAACTACTTGACAAATGTATGAAAATTATTTTTTATATTATTGAATTATTTTAAGCTATTATATTTTAAAAAATAATAAATAATAAAACTTTCATTTTCAGTTATATTCTTGTAAACGGACATTTTTGTTGTTAAATTATTGACTTAACCTCGAGATTAAATGGTGAAAATGAATCATAGTGATGAAGAAAAAATAAAACAGTATTTACATAAGGTATTTTGATATTTCTATCAGTGCTTGTAATTTTTTTTTTAATATTTAATAATAAATTTAATCATTATCTATTTCTTAATCAACAGTTTTACATTTTTTTTTTTATTTAACTAATTTTACCCCTGTATGTAATTTAATCTAGTTTATGTTCATTGTTAATATTCAAATTCATAATAAAATTTTTGTTGAGAATTCAATTCATTTTTTTAATTTACATTTCAGTATCAAAATCCAGCGATCACACGGAGAGAAGTAATAAATGTTTTAAAAGAATACAAAGGCTTACAGCCCGCAAGTGAACGTTTTGGTATTGTTATTGTTATGTTGTTACTATATAAAAATTAAATTAAACATTCAATTTTAAAAATTTTAAATATATTTGTTGATAGTTTTCAATGATGGATCTTGCCAAGATTTATTTAATCTTCAAGGAACAATACCAGTAAATTACAAGGGTAAAAAAAAATAGTATTTAAAGAAAATAATTTTTATTATGTTATTATAAAATTTAAATTTATTTAGGCAATGTATACAACATTCCAATATGCATATGGTTAATGGATACTCATCCGAATAATGCACCAATGTGTTATGTGAGACCAACAGCAGAAATGACAATTAAAGTCAGCATGTATGTGGATCATAATGGGAAAATTTACCTGCCTTATTTACACGACTGGGTACCTGTGAGTTTTATTAATTATAATAATTAATTGATACTTGAAAATGCTACAATAATAATTTTATTATATTTTAGCATTCCTCTGACTTATTGAGCTTGATACAAATTATGATTGTAACTTTCGGCGAAAACCCACCCGTTTTTGCTAAAAGATACTCCAATACTCAAACATCAACACCTTATCCTTCACAAAGTACGTAAATATTTATAAATTTAATAATAGATAGATACTAATGAATTCAAAAGCAAGAGTTAGTTTTGGATTTTAACTGTAAAATATTAATAGTATAGTATAGAGTTTTCAAATAAATGTTAATGTTTACAGGTTTTATGCCAGTTCCGGGATCTACATCTAGTTCAACAAGTGGTTCGTTTCCACCATATCCAACCAATCCTCAATACGCTGGGAGCAATTCTGGATATACTCAATATCCACCAACAGGTGGATCAGGATTTGCTAATTATCCAGGATTTCCTGCGATGCCTGGAATGCCATCATCATCTTATCCAACTCCGGGATATCCGAGTTCATTTCCAACTCCATATCCACCTGCGACTCAACCTGTAATTTTTTTATTTGATAATATTTACAAAAAAAAAATATGAAAATTCTGTTAGTAGTTAAAATAGGTATAACTTGTTTTATTTTTTTAGTCACCACCAGTAGGAGGAGCAATGACTAGTGGTAACTCAGATACAATTACTGAAGAGCACATAAGGGCATCATTGGTATCTGCTGTTGGTGATCAACTTCGTCGACGACTCTGCGAACAGTTCTCGCAACTCCAAGCCGAGCTTGAGACATTACGCCGTACACAACAAGAATTAATGAGTGGATCCTCACGACTTAAAGACATATTCAATAAATTACAAAAAGAAAAACAGGAGCTTGATAAAAATATAAATATTCTTCAAGACAAAGAAAGTGAATTGGAGAAAGAAATTGAAAAACTATCAGACAATCAATCAATTGATGTTGACGAGGCAGTTACAACTATCGCACCTTTGTATAAACAGTAAGTTTAACAATGATATTAATTATTTAATATCAATATTAGAGTTACTCCAATGTGATAAGTATTTTTGTTTACAGAATGCTTAATGCTTTTGCGGAAGAAGCTGCAATGGAAGATGCAATCTACTATCTTGGTGAAGGTCTTCGTCAAGGTTCTATAGATTTAGATGTATTTCTAAAACATGTGCGACAACTATCTCGAAGACAATTCATGCTTCGAGCGTTAATGTTACGCTGCCGACAGAAGGCTGGTTTAGCTGGTTGATATGGACAATTTTATAAACAACAAAACAATGTCGCTTTAAATTTATAATTGATATCTTATTTTATTATCCAAAAATAAATATGTAGCTAAGAAAATTATATTGATATAAAAAACTAAATTATAAATGTTATAATCAATGTACGCATCCAATAAATACAATAAAGGATGGAAAGTTATGGATTTTGTTACAATGATATTGATTTCAATATTTTAAAATTAAGAAAAGAATATTTTATTGCATATGATTTTTATACAGTAGTGATGGAATGTTAAAATAATGATATTCCAGAATAAAAACATTTGGTAATAAGTATTTAATGCTGAAAACAAAAAAATAAATGTATGTTAAGAATCGTTTTATAGATTTTACCTTGGTATTTTAATAATACTATTGATATTTACTTATACATAAATTCCGACCCACAGCATTAAGAAAAGGACTCCAAAACCAGAAAATAATGCAGCAACAAGAGACACTAATAGTTCTTTATAAATATCTCTAGTGAATTTTGTACTGGTTACTTCGTAAACGAAAAACCAAGCAGTGAAGAAAATTCCAATTCCAAGTAAAACAAGTGCTAACACTGGGAATATCGTTGGATTGATTGGTGAGACATACCTTGCCATTGATTCAATTTCAATCTGAAATAAATAATTGTTTTAATTTAAATAATAATTTAAGTAGCTTTTCTGAAATATATTTGTGTTTAAAGACTTTAATACAATACTGTTTATAATGTAATATTTTTAATGACAACTATAAAGAGTAAATATAAACAAATAAATATAATGTTTAAATATTTTATCAAAATATTATTTATAATTACTCATAAAAAATGTATCAAGCAAAATTATAGGCTGATTAAAAATATTTGAAAAAAATTATCTAAATTTGCAAATGTAAATTTAACATTAGGTTATAAAAGTTACTAAGAATAGTGTTATTAGATATTAAAATTTTTATGTTATAATAATGGATAAATGTTTATACTTTTTGTTTCAAAATAATTCAACATTAACAATTAATTTACCATTTTTGAAGATTATATTTTGACGTGGCCGGTACGTATATTTTTTTTTTTCTCCAGTCGACAGGAAATATGTCATTGGATATATAAATGACTTCAAAACATTTTCAAAACATCAGCGCCACTGCGATAGTTTCTGTCTACACTTCTTAATACTCTAATTTCGAGTGCGTTTCCCTTCACAAATGTGCCGCCAGGTGATTTTCTGAGAGAATATCAGATAAACAATACTTTTCGGCCCAAAAACGCGATCACATGTGCATAATTTATATTTTTTTAATAAAAAAAAAATATATATATATATATATACATATAAGTATACACACTTTGCATACGGGTGCGGACTGGTGCGAACCCCCTTCATTCACCACATTAAATGATTAAATCAGTAAATAATAAAAAAATTTTTTTAATGAATAAATACTTTTAACTATCATGAATGATCATTTAATTGTTAATAAATTATCAAGAGTTTAGTAGTTTTTTTAATAAAATGACTTAATTATTTTTAGTCATTTATTATGATGAAGTAAGTAGATGATGTAAAAAAATATAGGTTATATAGTAGAATTGAAAACAATACTGAAAGTAGCAGGTATCAAAGAACTTTTTCATATTTGAATTTTTGATATAAAAAATTTAAAGTAAACGTTAACATAAAATTTTAAAAGAACTAATTTCTTCAAACATTTTTAATTAACATCATGTATTTTATCTATGAAAACGTAAAAATGATGTCTGCTATTTTTAGAGTCATTATTTAAATAATTAAAAAATATGGACAAAATGTTCTGTTTTCTTTGCATGTAATTTTATTTAATTTTTTCTAATGTATTTAATTAGTAATTTTTTTTTTTCAGATTATCTTGAAAATAAAACTCCATTTACTGAAGTGAAAATTTCAAAGAAAATAATTAGTTTACAGATAATGATAGTTATTTAAAGTAAAATATAAAACTATTTAGTCAAAAATGTTGCGATTTGAACCACCTAAATTACCATCACCTCCCAAATTAAAAGAAGAGGACCAGAGAATTTTTCTTAGTGATCCAACATGGGATAAAATAGCAGTATATTTTACAACTAATCATCAGCGATATCGAGAAAATATTGTAATACCTAGAGGTCCTGCTCCAGTACACATTGTAACGAATGAGGAAAAAGCCATGCAAACATTCATGGAAAGCTGTGTTTTTAAAAGTATTTTTAGTGGCGTTTTAGGTAAGTTAAATACTGTTAAACATATACCTTTTCCTTCCAAACTTAATAGGATACATGTAGAGTTCGCAATTTAAATTTAATTAAAACAAATCTTATCTATGTTTACTTACTTTTAAACGTATTTTTTTCTTTTATTATAGTTTTCTATGAAACTGTCTTTATTCAATTTTTTTTCTTTCGAATATTGTATAAATCTAAATATCAATTCTTATATCAAAATTAATGATTAAAAAATTTTCCATTAGGTTATGGATTAGGTGCAGCACTTGGTTTATTTTCTTCTAGTGTAAATCCAAACGTTGCTGCTGTAGAACAACAACAAACAGCTCGTCAAATATTTCGTGAAATGAAAGTCACAACTTTGGGTTACGCTAAAAATTTCGCAACTATTGGATTACTATTTTCGGCTATGGAATGTACTGTGGAATCGGTATGTAAATTATATAATATTTTCAAATATACTTTTTGTTCGCACGAATATTTATTATGTACAAAATGTTTTAAGATGAGATATTAATAGTTGAATATTTGTAAAATATTATTAGTATCGTGGTAAAACTGATTGGCGGAATGGTACCTATGCTGGTGGTCTAACAGGAGGCCTTATTGGTCTGCGAGGTAAGTTTCAACTTTTTCTATTATTGTTAAATATAATTAAATAGTATTTTGGTTAAATATATTTTCAAATTTTAGCGGGTGTCAAAGCAGGCGTAATTGGTGCAGCAGGTTTTGCAGCGTTTTCTGCAGCCATAGATTATTATATGCATAGTTAATAAAAGTGATAAGATAAAAATACTTGTACAAAGAAATTTATCAAATATAAGATGTAAAAAGAAATTTAAAAATCCTTATTAATAACTACACACATACACATTAAAAATATTATTTTATAGAAGTTTTTTATGGCTCAAAATATTCAATACATTTCTAAAAAAGACTATTCGGCAGCCGAAATGGAAGTAGATTCGTAGTGAATCCAACAACTACTAAAATAATCATTACCATTAAATAGACAGAGAGAGCTAGTAATTTTTGGCTTAGACTGATAGGTAGGTGTGCAAATTAAAGTTTAATTAATAAGCTTTCAGATGGAATTTAAAAGAATTTTACAAATTATCGCATTCAATAATTATTTCGCAAAGAAACAGTAAAAGTGCTAATTTTTGAGGATTTTGAAGAATCAAATTTCTGTAATTCCTAAACTATTTAATTTACAAATATATAAGTATGCAAATTAGAGCTTACTTAATAAGTTTTCAGATGCAGTTTACAGAAATTTGAAAGAACATCACTTTCAATCGTTATTGCACGGAAATGCGGTAAAAGTGAAAATTTTGCGATTTTAAAAAATTTTTGAAATACCGTCATTCCTAAACTATTTAATTTAGAAAAATAAATAAATGTGCAAATTAAAGCTTATTTAACCCGTCAGGATATGGGTGTTTTTTAGTGTCTCACTTGCACTGCAGCGACATTCATTATGTTAAATGTTGTTGCGTGAGAAAAAAATCTCATAGCCCAGGTCCTGAAGGATTAATAAGCTTTCAGATGCAATTTACAAAAATTAAAAATAATATCGCGTTTAATTGTTATTCGTTTGACGAGTTGAGCTGATAAGTAGCAAAATTTTTCAAAAATTCTATCACGAAGACCAATGCAATAGATAGATTTCTATGAAATCTACTAAAAATTAGTGATTTTTTAGAAATGTATTGAATATTATTGTTGAAGTTAAACATAAACTTACTTGAAGTTTGTTTTTGAAATTTAGGGACAATAAATTATAAATTATCAATGTAAATAATGTTTTTTCTTTAATTTATATTAAAAATTTGTTTTATATAAGTGATATAAGTAATTTAGTATAAAAGTAAAAATGTTATGGTATTTATAGATAATTATTTGTATTATTATAAAGAGTAAATATTATAAAAAAGATATACTGATTTTTAAAGCAATGAAAAAAAAAAAAAAATATATAAATACATTTGAATAAAAAAATATTTTCAGAATTACTTTAGGTATTTATTTGTTCAAATACTTATTGTTTAATTGATTTTTTAAAAATTGTTGTTTATTTTATTAATCCAAAAAATTTGTACTCCAAAATTTGTGGAAGACTATTAAAAATTAATCATAAAATTTACAAAATTTTTAAAATGCTTCGTTTAATTTCTATTCACTGAGAACTTGCTTTATATTTATCAGTATAAAAATGTGCATTATGAAAAATTGCACATAAAATCAGACTTTGCAATTATTAAATAAAAAAAGGAGATTCAAGACTTTGGATTTCGAACACAAGTTTTCTTAAATTTAACAACCATTTAAGTCAAATATCTGTTAAGCATATTTTTCATTGAATAAAACAATTGCTGACGTTTTAAACATATATGAAATACTATAAAGAAATCACGATATGCGGTTCAATTATACCAATACAAATCGTTTGATATATTCTACTTTAAATAAAGGATTGCAAGGCACTTGGCAAAATTGATTTTGACAGGTTGATGAGCAATCCGTTTCAATAGTCATAAAATGTTGATGCTTACTTCCGCTATTGTTTTTCTTTTTTTAAAATCGTAATAATAGTTTGAAAAATACTGTAAAATATGTTTTATTGTATTATCATCGCTCATTGATGACTCATCATAAAATTATTTCATTGTCATCATTCGCAAAATTAAAAATGTATAACAAGTAGTAATACCGTTATAATTGTGCCTGAATATTAATGTTAACTTAAAAATATGGTTGTGGCACCTGACTGAAACAAACCAATTGAGTGTTTCGTGTATTAATGAATATTATGGCTGTTGCTGTTGCATTTGTGCTTGCATTTGAGCTAACATTTCTTGCATTCTTCGTAATTCTGCTTCTTTCTCTTGAAGAATACGATCTTTTTCTGATCCGACAGTTTTTTCAGGATCAACGGCTCTGTTGAAATGAAAAATAAATATTGAATTGGCTATAATTTTTTGAAGACATAAAAAAAAATATTAAAAACTAACGTTGTTCTTCGAGGCGGTACAGGAGCTCCTTTGGCCAATCTCTCACTTCGATAATTTTCGTAGTGTACTTCTTGAGTAACCTCTTGTAAATCTTGCATATGAGTACTGTAATTAATAATGTCAATAATAATTTTAAATAAATAATTAAAAATTAAAAAAATGTAACTTGATATCTTACATAAGCATTGTCCGAAGTTTGATAAAGTCACAGTGATCAGGATTTTCAACTTCAACAACGCCCCAAGGATACAATCGTCCCCGGACTTTTCGTCCTTTAACTTCAAGCAATGTAGATGCTCCACATACTGCAAATGGCACTGCTTCTTTCAGTTGTCGGACTTGTTCTTTATAGTCTTCATCTTCATCGCTATCACAATCAGGCAAGGGATAAATTTTAATTTCATTGCTCTCTATTTCTTCCATTACACGTTTCTTTAAACGCAAAACTTCTTTTTTTGTCAGCACGTCAGCTTTGGCAATTACTGGTACAATGTTGACTTTATTGTGAAGCTGCTTCATAAATTCAATATCCAAAGGTTTTAATCTAAAATTAAAATTATAAAATTATTAGGGACATATAAAAGTACATGAATTATTTTGATTCAATAGCAATTGACATCGATTATTATCAAACCTCATAAGGTAATAAAAAATATTCATATATTTTTAAGTCATCGATAAAAAGGCAGGTTTTTTAAAAATTAAAATTTCGTATGAATTTTAATTATTGATCGTTAAAATTATATAAAATAATTAAGATATTCAAGATTTATTTACCCATGACCAAATGGCGAAATAAAATAAAAGCAACAATGTATTCTATTGTCAACAATGTTCCTTCGATTTAATCCACTTTCATCGCGAAGGAATCGTTCAAATTGATCATCAATGTATTGAATAATTGCTCTAAAACTATCTGTGTTGTCAATTGCATCTCCATATCCGGGCGTGTCAACCACTGTTAATCTAAGTTTTACCCCTCGCTCTTCAATTTCAACCGTAGAAGCATCCAACTTGACTGTTTGATTAGTTTTTTCTATTGTAAAATGATTAAAAAACAAGTTAATTGATAATTGGTAGACAATAATTTAAAAATATATAAAAAAAAAAAAAAAAAAAAATCTAACCAACAGCGTCCGGTATAGTTCGCTCAGGATATAAATCAGTTAAAAAGAGGCTATTGACCAAAGTCGACTTTCCTAGCCCAGATTCTCCAACAACCATCAATGTAAATTCAAATCCTTTTTTCACAGATTTTCGATGAACTTGATTCGGCAAATTAGCAAAGCCAACATATCCAGGAGTTTCAAGACTAGCAAACTGAAAGAAAATAAATTAATGTTATTCGTTTAAATTAATACTCAAATTTAATTTTACTTAATTTACTATCATTAAAAAAATAACATCGAAATTACTATTAAAAATTTTAATTATGGGTTAGTACTGGATAAATAAAAATTAGTTAGTCTATATTGAGGTTTTGAGGTTCAGATCTGCATTAACGTTTAATAATTATTTTTAAACTCTTACCGTTTTCACACTTTCACTAGACATCGTGAATTATTTGTTTGATTCACTAATAATTATTATTATTATTATTATAGAAAATTTTTATATGTAAGTAAAATATTAAGAGTTAAAAAAATAATAAAGTAATAATTAGACGCCAATGCTGTCAAGATATTTGTCGAGTTGTGTAAAATCAACACACATAAAGAGCGGAGAACTGCCGGGGCGTGTAAAGCCGTCTTGCCGTCTTTGATTTTAAATAGTAGGGATAAGAAATTGAGTACAATACATGCATGTAAAATAAAAGTAGTGGGGAGAGTCAGTTGAGTCAGATTTATAGTAATAATTATAAACCTTATCTTTTAAACTAAATTGAAAAATTTGCAAGTAAAGTAGCTTATTTTTATAATAATAATAATTATGACTGGCTTTTTTTTTTTTTTTGCTTAATAATTACTTAAACCAATAATCACTTATTGTAGCTGTTATTGGTTAATAGACACATGAATATAATAGGAAAAAAAATCTACTGAATTTATTTGAACTCAAGAAATGTTTCCGCAAAAAAAAAAAAAAAAAAAAAGGAAATCAATGACTCTTTGAATAAAGGCGTGGCAGCAAATATAATTGAAAATTAAATTTTAATAAATATTATTATTTTATTAATCTTATTAACTCATAGAATATAATTTTTTATTATTTTTTTCAACATTGTCAAGAATATATGGTTGATTTTACTAATAAATTAGATTCAAGTATAAGCGATATTCTGGTGGTGAATTATAAAATTATAATTTTTTTTACAAGTTGATTGCAATTATAAGTATTCTTTAGTGTTTTAAATTAAACGGATTGATTTTTCACTGACAAAAAAAATGCTGATTTTATTCTTTTATTATGGCACCCTTTATGTGTTTTATCTTAGAATGAGGGACTTTTACGATATGAAAAATAGATTTCTTTTATATGTAAATTTCAAAAATATCATTTGAACACACCAAGTAAATACTTATAAGAAAAATTCTCAGTCAAAATTGAAACCAAATGTCTTGGTCATCCTTCGAGAAACAATCTTCTATATGAAAATGATGCCAAATATTTCGTCATTTTCAAAATTATATTTTAATTAAAATTAAAATTTTTTCACTGTTTGATTTTATCAAAAAACGTTTTTGAACCTTTACATTTTATAACTATTTCGTTACCTTTTAAAAATATTCTAAAACGTTTATTAACTATTAAAAAAGTAAAGTTTCCTTTAAAAAAGGGGGTAATATACATAAAACTAATTTAAATAATTTTTGATAGAATACCTATATATTAAGAGGCTGAATTACAAAATACATTCATGTTGTTACATTTACAATTGAAATTACATTGTCTTGATTTTTTATACATTTCACACATGAGGCAAACACCTATTAAAATAATTCAATTTTAATCATAATAAAGCATAGTTATAAATAAAGTCAGTGATATCATAATTATATTTTTATCATAATCAGTAATTTTTTTTTTTTTTATTGAATTATTATTCTCTTCCTTACTCGTTTTTTTTTTTTTATCAATTCTTAACATTGTTTGTGTCAATAAAATGAAAACAACTAAAATATTTGATCATTTAATTGTTTATTATGTATAATCATAATTATAAATGCCGTGCAATCAAGTACTCACTAGAAATATTATTCATGATGATAATATTATATTTAATTAATTTTCATAACTCCTAATCATTAAAACAGTAATAAACACCTAGTTTTTTATTTTTTTTTTTTATTTTTTTTTTCACTTTATTATTTTAATTATGAAATAAAAATTATTGACAAACGAAAAAATCACAAATTAATGACTTGTAAGAGACAATTACGAAAACCATGCGTTTAATCAATTTTCAATAAACGTGCATGTGATTTTAACGATTGATTTGTACATAAATGATTATTTATTAATTCACTTTATATATATTTATGAACGGACGCTTACATTCTACGTAATAATTTTTGCTTCACATAAATATTATTTGTATTTCAAACATTCATTATACATTCACTTCTTACATAATTTACGAAACAGATTTTCAAATTTTTTTTTAAATCATTATTTCCTTATGAATCAAAGTGTTATTTTCAATATTTCAACGATATTCAGACAAAGGAGCATCAGAAATAGAAAAATTATATTACTCATAATTGCAACTTACATGAAAGTTTTTAAAGACAGAATTATTAATTATTTTTTTTTTCTTCTTATGTATTTACTTTCCCTTAAGGAAGACACCCCATGATAGGTTAAAGAAATAAAAATTATTGTATGACATTGCAGTTCATGATGAATAGGAAAACTTCTTCCAATTATTATTTTCAAAAACTGCAAGAGCACCGCTAGTTTTTTTATTTGCTGTTTTTGTTTAAATTTATCATCGTTTCTTTTTAATCCTGTGTATCTGTAGTATAAATGGTGTTTCTGTTTTATTCTTATTCTATGAAAATTTATTTCTCATATTTTGCGAGAAATTTCATCATTATGAATGCAAGTGAGATTTATTTTTCACTTGCTTCTACTTTTTCATCACGAGGTTTTGCTCCTCCATAAATCGAGCTGCCTTTACTTGATTCAGCTAATGCATTTACAGGATCAGGAACTGATCTTTTCTGTAAAACCAGTTTCTTTCTTCCAGTCGTGTCTGTAAAATGATTAAAAAAAAAAAAAAAAAAAAAATTATTTATAAGTCAACAATAAGTAGAAAAAAGTTTTTTTTTCTAATGAATAAAAAATAAAATTTTTAAAAGTACCTGGAGGTGGTCCTTTGAGATATGGGTCATCCTGGAAAGATTTGCTACGGTCATTGCCGGACATCCCTCCTCGTCGTGGGCCACTGGCAGCTCCGTAATTTGATCTAGGAGGACCACCACTAGAGCTTCCACCACCAATACCGCCACGAGAAGACCAATCTCGTCCAGGACCATCTTCATGAAAATTACCATAATTACCTCGATTACCTCTCGCATCAGTACCATATCCGCCAGGGCCTTGTCTACTACCTGGACCACTATTTCCCTGTGGTCTACGGTCATTATATCCTGTAAATATTTATAAAAATTATATTTTTATAAAAATCTCTCCAACAAGATTTTAAGATAAATTGCTTGAATATGAAGAATTACCAAACCCTCCACCTCCAGAACCAGCTGAATTTCCACCGCCTCGTCTTCTATCAAATCCTCCACCTCTATCATTTCTTTTTCCTTCAGCTACATCAATTTTTACAATATTTGATTCAACTTTTACTCGTCCATTAAGCTCAAGAGCATCTTCCAAATCACGAAGATCTTCAAATTCGACATAGCAAAATCCTTTGAATCTATAATTGACAATTAAAAAAAGTATTATTTATTAATTATATAATGTAACTAAAAGTATAAATAGATATAAATTAATTTTGATTAACGCACCTATCAGTTTCTCGATCTTTGACCAATCGTACATTCTTAACACGTTGCTGTTCAAATATTCTATCGATATCTCTTTGGATAATACCATCCGGTAAATTCCCAACGTAGGCAGTATACGGTGGTTCAGTGGGCAATGGTTTTCTGCTACCACCACGGCTTCCACCGCCTAAATAATCTCTGTAACATAAAACAATATATTTTGAATTAGTCTAATGTTATTAAAAATAAATAAATAAAAACATTGAATGTATCAAGTGTGATAAATAAATAAGCATAATTTTGTTTTTAATTTTTATTCTCTTTTTCAATAATGAGTAGTAATTGAGTAAATTATTAAAAAATTGATGGACATTTCAGAATAAATATTATTCCAAGCTATAAATCATTCCGTGAAATGTATGTACTTTTAATTTATCAACGTTCTAAAATTTGATATTCAAGCCATATAATAATAACTTGTATGGGATCATCAGGAATTAAGATGACTAAAAATAAATGAAAACATTGAAGTCCAGCACACGCACGAATAAATAGTATGAGTAGTTTATATATTAGTTAAAATAAAACCGCGTGCTTGAGCATCATGTTTCTTTTAAAGCGGGGTGCATCACAACTCCAAAGCACTACTCACTTAACCTTAAAATCGAGTTATAAACGAACAATAAATAATCATTAACATCGATATTTGATTCAATGTGGATTAAGAAACTTATTTATAGTATTAAATGACTTGTCAACAATTTTAAAACGTAAATATAAGTATATAGTTACCTAGAATCTTCATGATCTCCACAACCAGCCATGTTGGATGCACGAAACTGAAACTGATGAAAAATTGACCGGAGGACAAACCGCGCGGTGCACGTCGTCAAGAAACTAAGTTACCAAAGTTATCAGCAAGATGGCACTTTTCGATATTTTTTATGGCGCACTATTATTTTTTAATTATGAACTTAACTTAACTATTAAATTAATGAATATTGATGCACAAAAAATAAATGATGATTTTTAAGAATTTTATATATAGAGTTCTATATTCCTATCTCCATACATTCAACGATTGAAAATTTTTTTTAAATAATCTGTTTCTGTATTTTCTTTCAGCGATTTACCATAAAAAATAACTTTTGATACATTGTTTACGTCTAATCAATTATCTAATAGATAAACAATTATAATTTATTTATTTTTTCAATTATTATCAATGATTCTTTTTTTATTAATAATTTTCAAATTAAAACTTTTTTGGTGTCATTAATTGATTCCAGTAGTCAATTTATTATTTTTTTATAGTATATAGTGTCTCAAAAGTCGTTTATATGTGTACTACCATACTACTGCCATCTTGCTAACGGAGTCTCATAGTGAATGTATAAAAGATAATAGATGTCGCATATGCCAAGTGCTTAATAAAACAGTGGGGTATTTTATTCTCAATCGAGAGTTCCATCTCAAAAAAACTTGAAAAAAGTCGAAGGAATAAGAGTACAAAGTATAACCGCGTTTGTGAACTTTATATAAACATTAAACATTAGAATAGTGCACGTGGTTGACCATGAATTCGGACACAGCAAATACTGGTATAAAACCAGAGAAAAAAATGAAAGTAAATCCAATAATATTGGATTCTTTCTCAAAACTTATTGTTGATAACGCTCATTCGCGAATGCAAGGTGAAATAAATTTACTGACAATTCTTTTGCAGTTAAAAAAGGTTAGTTTATTTTTTATTCTTAACCTCTAATTGTATAGCTTAACTGGCCATTTTTTATTTTAATTATTATTAGTAATATAAAATTGTTTTTAATTTATTTATTTAAGGATGATCCAAATAATGAAGAATTTACTTATTCTTTGAAAAGATTGATTCGGGGATTAGGATCATCGAAAATGGTTTCTAGAAAAGGATTTTTTTCTACTTTAACCACCTATTTAAAACAAAATTTAGACTCTGATATAGATCAACTAATAGAGATAATGGAAGCAGAATTGAAATTAGTCAGTAATCTATCTAAAAGTGTAAGTAAATTTAAAGCTAAATAATTACTGCTAATTTTATTTTATTAACCCCTGACAAGCACACTGGGTAAAAAGTACCCACCCCAAAATTTTATTTTGTTATAATTATTTGTGTATATTTAAACTTTGATAATATTTTTATCTATTTTAATTGGCACTAATTAATTTAATATTATATCTATTTTATAGAGAATTTTTTGAGCTTTGATTTAAAAAAAAAAAAAAATTCTCTAACTTTATTAGGGATCAAGATATTTGAAAATGAAATATGTTGGAAACTTTTCACCCTCAATGCCTAAAGAGGTATACGGTTTAGATGTGTGCTTTTCAGGGATTAAACTAACTAAAAATTCAATTATTTCAGGAAAGGGGTGACATTTATATGGGGAGAATACTTTTCTGTGGATCGTTGATAAGATCTAAATTGCTGTTTAATTGTCCAGTCGACAAACAGCAGCAGATTTTAGAAATTTTATTGACTGCTGGTACTCAAAAAAGCTATTTGTCGTTTATTTCAATTTCATTTTTAATTGATTTTATTGACCAATTAGATGAAAAGTATATCAAAACTCATTTTTGGTCGTTGCTTGAAAATCATATAGGCAAAAGTTGGACTGAACATTCATTAGATACTTTTTATGCATTATTACATATCAGTGTTAAATTTCCTTCTCTGTTAAAGAAAAAATTCCTTAAACAACATTTGAACGCTGAGAGTATTATTCACAAAGATACCATTAACGATTTGCTTAAACTAGTAACCGTAAGTACTTTTTTTTTGTTTATTTTTCACATAATTTTCTTCAATTTTCAATAACTCAATTTTTTTTTATCCAACAGGACACGCCAAGAATTACATCATATCAACATCCGTTGTATAAAATATTAAGCGAACTTTTGATATCATCAGAATGTATTGAAGATTTTTGGAATGGTATCGATCAACGATTTGTACAACCGTCTAAAAGTATGGAATACTTAGCTTTAGAATTATTGAATCACATCATACCGAACATTACAGATTCAACTAAGCTACCTAGTTTATTATCTTCAAATTTATTAAACTGGATGGTAGGAAGATTCAATATTCATCCAAGATATCGTAATGATGATGTAGCAAATTTGTTTCGAAAAGTATTAGCTAATTATGTATTAGCATTAAGTAAACCAGACGTTAAACCTAAAGTTCGAATCACTGTTTTAAAAACACTAATACATTATCCTGGAGATCTCATGATTGAAAAAATAACAGGCGTAAAAGTAATTCAATCCATTACGACATATATGAGTTTGAATGGATTAAAAAAGCTAGCTAAATTTTACACGGCAATTGTGGATGATTCTGAACCCAAAAAAGCTGAATCGAAAGAAAAATCTTGGAGTAACGCTGAAAGAAATTATGCTTGCCAATTATTGTGTAAACTATTAGGACAACCTGCTGTAAATGCAGATCTTGATTGGAAACACGAACAGTTGACATTTTTATTCAATTTTGGTATGTGTGAAATTGAAAATGTTAATGAAGAATTGGCTTCACACATTAAAGATAGTTTTTATCGAGCTTTAGATCATAAACAAAAATTGCCTGAACTTTATGCTCTTTTCGACAAGTTGGTAAGATACATAAACACTGAATTGTTTGTAAATAAAATACTCACTCTCAGAACACCATTGGATGATTCAGCGATTGAAGCTTGGAAAAAAATGATGAAATTTGTCAAAAAAACAAAAGATGATTCTCGAAACAATGAAGTTAATTTAATTTTTCATGTTATGGACTTAAATATGGGATTGCAAATTTTTATTGATCCAACAATGGCTATTTCTAGTATTAACGAAATTCACATTTGCTACGAAAAATTGAAACAAAAAAAATCTAAGAAAAAATCTAAAAAAATAGAAGATGAAGAACCTGAGTGGGTCGATGTTATTGTTGACTTTTTGTTGTCTTTACTTTCACAGAGCAATCATTTGTTAAGATCACTTGTACAACGCGTTTTTCCACACTTGTGTCCAGTACTTACAGCAACCTCTGTGCATCGAATATTGGAAGTCCTCGATCCAAAAGATGATAAAGGTCCACTTGTTCCTGAAGGTACCGAAAATGATTCTTCTGATGATGAATCAAATTCTGAAGACGAGGATTCCGATAATAACAGTGAAAAAATGATTAAAAAAAAATCTGTTACAAAAAACTCTGTTGAAGAAAATGAAGATGACGATGACGATGAAGACGAAGACGATGATGATTTTGATGAAGAGGACGAAGATGAAACGATTAATGATCGTTTAAGAATGGCAGTTAGACAAGCTCTTGGAAGTGCATCAGCCAACCCTGATGTTAATGACATTGATTTAGACGAGATTGATGAAGAAGAAGGCAAACGTCTCGATGAATCTTTAGCTGCAGCTTTTAAAATCCTCCGGGAAAGTCGACCAAATAAAAAGAAGCAAGAAAAAAGTGCTGAAGCCCTAACTCATTTTCGAGTTCGAGTAATTGATCTTCTTGATATTTATATTGATTCTGGACCTTCAATGGCATTAGTTTTAGATATGCTAGTACCTTTATTTGCTTTACTGGAGTTTTGCATAAAAGATGTTCATCAGGAACCTTTGGAAGGACGAGTACGTTCATGTCTTAAGAAATTATCATCGGTAAAAAAATTCAAAGACACAGAAGGTGTAGATGAAAAACTACTCACTGATTTAGCAACGATATTAATTGAAAAAGGTGAACGATCAGCAGCAGTTTGTCAAGAAATGGGAGATAAATTAGCTGAGTGCTATGCATTAATAATAAAATGTTTCCAACAAACTGACTTACCGCAAGATTCTTTGGTCAAAATTTACATTGATTGTTTGAAAAAATTTTTCAAGAAACGAGACTGTATTCTTCCTGCAAACTTATTCAAAAATACTCTTAATCTTCTCTGGACTGGAAACTGGCAATTAATGCCGTTACTCATTGATTATGCATTTGATAATACTATAAGATCTTATCGTCGGAGCCAAGCTTTAGAATTTATGATAATATTCTATCATAATCATCGATTAATGAAAAGCGAAGAAGATTCAAATCTTCGATTGAATATTGAAAAAAAACTGTGTAAAAATACGGTAAAATTGTTCCAGGAACTTACTACTCATCAAGATAAATATAATAATGAATGTTCTAAGACAGACAATGACGTTACTTCAAAGGAGCTACGACAAAAATTTGTTGGTTTGCTTTGGACATTATTATCTGCTATCTATCCACATCAGTTGCCGAAAGCTTGGAATTGGAAGAGCATTGCTCTCTTAATTACTGAATATCGAGAAAAAAATTCTTTCTCTAAAGATGCTAAAACTGCATACAAAAAATTAGCTTCGCAAATTGGAGCACCGATTAATGTAACAACTAAAATAAAAGAACAAAAAAAGGAGCCGATGAAAAATGGAACATTATCAAAGGATTTCGAGAAAGAGAACGAAGAAGTTGAAGAATTAAATGATGAAAAATCATCAGAAGAAAATGATAAAGTTTTGGTTAAAAAATTGAAAAAAGAACTGAAGAAACAGTTAAAAAATCGTAGTAAGAAAGGAGATAAGCAAAAATTGAAAAAAGAAGCTCGTGAATTAAGAGCCAAATTAATGTCTGAAGGTTTGGAAACTGTGAACTTTAGTTCAGTTGTGATTCCGGAAGAAATTATTGATGATGAGCCAATGGAGACTGCAGAACCTACGGAAAACGGAATTTCCAAAGAAACCAGAAAAAATAAGTTGATTGAGAAATCATCAAAAAAACGCACACATACAGGTAACGAACGATCTAACAAATCAAAAAAGAAAAAACATGTTTAAAATTTTTTATTGTTATAATTAAATAAATTATGAGGTTAATAAATCATTTTTTTATGATTATTTTTTTACGATGACTTATGTAAGAACAGAAAAAACTGTATACAAAAGCAGATATTGTAATAAATGCCTAAATAAATACATCTACATAATTTATGTAAAACAAATTGTATATAACTAATAATAAAATAAAGCATGCTTCCACGTTACATAAATTCAAATTACTAGCTCTAGACTTCGATTAATAGATTTATTTAATATAAGATAAATATGTCTGATCAGTTTTCACTTGGTAAGAATTACGAATGATTGAAAAAATTTTTAAAAATAAAAGTACAAACTGAACAAGTTAATTAAATTTACTAAAATATGTTTTCCTCACAAAATTATATAATTAAAAAATGTATTTGATAAAAATAAATGAATAAAATGAGAAGTATTGTTTTTTTTTTTCTTTGAAAATTTTGAGTTTATTAATACAAAAAAATAGAGAATCAATGAAGCAGTCTCTCGTTATTTTTATTTTTATCATTTTTTTCTAACATAATTATTGATTTTTTTAAACTTTGCGCTACAAGTTTAGTTATAAGAATGTCACATAGAGGTCACACATTGAAACAGAAAAACTATATAACATCGAAAACCCACGTGTTGGGTTTTATGTGCTATCCTATGCTATCCTTCTTAACCTCAAACATTAAAATTATATTAAAAAAAAAAAAGTTATTTTCGAGAATAAATAAATAATAAACAGGCAATAATTTATATCATATATTTCATCGGATTGAACTAAAGTTGAGATATTAATATTTATTATTTTTTTTAGTAAAATACAAAATTTTACTCTGAAGTAAGTATTAATTCAGAATTTTAAAAGTCCATGCTTAGTGTTACTGTGTCATATTATCATAATATTTTACATTTTTACTTTTATTAGTTAATATTAATAGAGAAACACATGTTAAAAGCTTTAAATTTCATATTGCTCTTTTTATTAAAAATTTGATAAGATTTTTGTTTCAATAATTTGTATTTTTAGTTTAAAATAACCAAGTAAAATTTGTTTTATTGATATTGCATGCATGTAGGTGTTTATAAATTAAAAGTATTTTTTGTTATAATAAATATGAATGTATTATTATTCATAGTTAATTAATTATCGATTTGTTTGTTGATAATTCAGAGCAACCGCATTGTAACTACTCGTAGCAGGTGCCAACATTTGGAGTTTTTTTTCTTATTTAATAATTTAAAACTTTTAACAAGGTAAGAAGATATATATATTAAATTTTATTATTTATAATAAATAATGATATAGATTATGTAATTTATATTTATATTTTTCGACAATTTTAGATAAACGGCATAATGAATGAATTTAATAGCAATGATAAAAAATGGTATGATGAATTCCCGAAGGAAACGAAAGCTTGTAAACATTCTTGCAGTGAAGTTGATGTAATTAAATTAAAAGAAGATGCCAAAAAACACTTGGATGCTGAGACTGCAGCATTTCAAACAAAAAAATCAACCGTACGAGATTCTGAGTATAATTGGTTAAAAACAGCCGTGACTAGTGGTACCAATGCTGATAAAATAGGAGCGAGTATTATTTTTATTCAAGAAAACCCTAAATGTAATCTTAGTCGATTAGTAAATCTAGTATCACAAGTCAAAGGTTCTCGGCACAGTCAAAGCAATTTGTTAATTACATCATTACGAGATCTTTTTCTATCTGATTTACTTCATCCTCAATACAAGCTTTTAAAATTTGAAGAACAAAATCTTGATAAAGTTGTACCATCAAATGACTCTACAATAATTACTAGAGACGTTCAAACTAAAAAGTTACTTTCTTACTGGTATTTTGAAGATCAATTGCGTGAACAATATGAAAAATTTATTTTATCCTTATCAGAAGTAGCGTCAGATACTGTTGATGTTAATCGTGAAAAGGCTGTTTCTGTCATGACTAATTTATTAATTGGTAATTCTGAACAAGAGCACCAACTTCTTTCATTGTTGGTCAATAAAATAGGTGATCCAAAATCAAAAGTCGCGTCTAAAGTTATTTTTTGCTTAAATAATCTTCTATTAGAGCATCCTAATATGAAGATGGTAGTGTTGCGAGAGTTAGAAAAATTATTGTTTCGAAAAAATATTAGTCAAAATGCACAATATTACGCGATAAGTTTACTTACACAATTTGTTTTAAATCGTGAAGATGCTGACACTGCAACAAATTTAATTGACGTATATTTTGCTTTTTTTAAAGCATGCTTGAAAAAAGGTGAACCTGATAGTAAAATGATGGCAGCTATTTTAACTGGAGTTAATCGTGCTTATCGTTTTGCTAATAAAGAAGCAATCAAAATAAACGATCACATTGATTCTATTTATAAAGTTGTTCATGTTGGTTCATTTAACGTATCTCTCAACGCGCTTAGTTTGCTCTATCAAATTGTTGAAAATGATGCTCAGCAAGAACGTAGATTTTATACTGCTCTGTATGGTAAATTATTCGATCCTCAAATTGGTTCTGCTAAAAAAAATGCAGTTTTTCTTCAACTTTTGTTTAAAGCGATGAAAAATGATAAAAGCGTAACACGGCTTTATGCTTTTGTCAAACGAATTTTACAGATTTGTTTATATTTTCCAGCTTCTTTGATATGTGCTACTTTGTGTATTATATCACAAATTTTACGGTCTAGAAAAGATTTGAGGCAGATTTTATTTAAAAGTACAGTTGCAGTCAAAGCAGAAGAAAAAATAAGTGAAGCTACAGAAAACAATAAAGAAAAAGAAGTTGAGGAAGAAATCAAATCAGTATCAAAAACTAATAAAAATAAAAAATCTCAAGTTAATATTATGTTACCGAATGTTACTTTTGATTCCACAAATACTTCTGAGACCAAGGAAAAAACAGAAACAGAAATTAAAATTGAAGAAGATACTACACTGATTTATGATCCATTTAATGTTAATCCATTAAAATCAGGAGCAAGTAAATCCCCAATAATTGAACTCTTAGCTCTTTCAGAACATTTTCATCCTAGCGTGGCATTATTTAGTCGTAATATTATTGAAGGAAAAACAATAAATTACTCTGGCGATCCTTTAGAAGATTTAACATTGATACGGTTTTTAAATAGATATGTATTCAAAAATCCAAAAAAATTAGAAGAAAAGAAAGTTACAAACAACGGCCCACTTGCAGTAAGGGCAAAATATACACCAAAAGGAATACGAGCTATTCCTGTCGATAGTCAAGCATATCTTAATGAAAAAGAAGAGCGCATTCCTGTGGATGAATTATTTTTGTATCGCTATTTGAATAAGAAAAATGAAATTAAAAGTTTTGTTAAGAAAGAGAAAGATGATGATGACAGTGATAACGATAGTGTTAACAGCGAGGAATTTAATGACTTACTGGATAAACTTAGTGGAGATGATAAAGACTTTGAAGAGGTAGAATTAGATTTTGCTGGAGAACTTGGATCGATGAAGAAAACTAAAAAACGAGCACATGATGAAAATGATGATGACTCTGACGATGAATACGGCGACGACGATGATGATGATATTAATGATGATGAAGAGTTGGAAAATATGAGTGATATGGACATAGATGAGGATGATGATGCAAGTGACATGGAATTTATTGATGATGATGATGATGATGACGACAACGATAATGAGCTTACCTTGAAAAAATCTGTACAATCAGTTTTAAAGAAGAATCAAACTGTAAAAGGCAAGAAAAAGAAATTGAAAAATGAAATTGACAATAATGTCTTTATGTCAGCTGAAAAATTCGCTGAAATATTAGAGCGACAAGGACAGTCTAAACAAAAACAAGGCAGTTCCAATGTACTTAGCGATCTGGATGGGGCTAGTGTTAAACAATTGGATTGGGAGATTAAAAGGAATCATAAAATTTCTGGCAAGTTGGGTGGTAAAAAACGATCAAAATTTTCTAAAGCTGCGCCTGTGTCTCGTAAAAATATAAAACAATTTAAAAAAAGATATTAAATAAAATTATTTGTATTTTACAGATGTTGTTACGTATTTTATTTCCTTTTAAAAATAAATAGTCTTTATTTTTAAAAGAAAAAGTCATTTTAATCCTAATTTTAATTGTTTAATAAGATATTAAAATATAAAATTCAATGACTTAATAACACGAAATAAACACTATTTAACCAAAGTATTTTGAAATTATTTATTATGAATTTGTACAGTAGATATTTATATTAAATACAAAAGAACTTTTGTAACATTAATCAAAATATTGTAAGATTTTAACCTTTGAGAGCACTTAAAAAATGAATTTAACTGATTTGAAAATGCTTATTCTACTGTATGTTTTTTTTTACGATATAAATGTTATATTCTACATGATAGACTTACAAATATAAACTATTAAATTTGTCATATGTTATTATGAAAGTTTTAATGTGTAATGCAGATGTTAGTTTTCCCTTTATTAGATTTAAAACAAATTTTTGTGAAAAAAAAAAAAAAAGACTAAATTAAAACAAGTAACACAACTACTATTGTTAAATATGAAAATATATGAATGCTTAGTCAAATTTATTAGATAAGCTAATATTGACCACATTACACTAAAAAAAAGTCTTTCACTTATTTAAGTTAAAGTAAACCATAAAAAATAACGTTTTTGTCTTAACACTTAATAGTAATCTCTTATATCTCAATAATATTAATTCGAATGAATAATCTCTTGTCTTGTTATCTTATATTTATTAATTTTTTTTTTTTTTTTTTTTTTTTTTTTTTTTTCAATTTGAGATTACTAAATGTGACATATTTTAAAGTGTGCTGTGTAAAACTTAGAGTGTGAATGCTACTCAGGATCAGGTTTGTTGGAGCCTTCTTCGTCGTGCGTTGGACTGTGCCATGTTAATCTTTCTTCGTAAAACTTGATCACAATTTGGGGACACCTCTCATTAGCAACACGAGCTGCAACCAAGTCTGCATCTTCAGTACCTTTCCATTTCATCAAAAACATAAGTTCCCCACTTGAATCAGTGGCACCAATGATACGTTCAGGTTCAAGATTTCTGTCAAATCCTGAAAATTAAATTATTGGTTATTTTTACTCTTTAACCTTTACCTTTTTTTTTTCTCAATAATTATCTTTTTTAAATACATACCTTCTGGTTTTTTGTCCTTGTCCTCTGTCATCTTTTTTTTGGCATGTGTTGGTGTTGGGGTGCTTGAACTTTTTCGTTTTTTGGAATCTTTTTCTTCATGCCGCTTGCTACTAGCAGCAGCCTCTTTCTTTTTTCGCTGATCTTCAAATTGAGCGATTAAATCAGGACAGTCCAGATTTTCTTCTGGTTCCCAAGTGTTTTCATCGTTTGAGTACCCTTTCCATTTAAGGAAATACTCTACCTAGAAAATCAATAATACAAATTATAATATACATAAAGTAAGATAACTATATGATTATGTTATAGTATTAATAAATTAATAATATTATTTACCTTGCCCTTAACCATTCGTCTGTCAAGCACTTTCTCAACGCTGAACTCTTCTTCAGCCTCATTGTCAGAAGATGGAGAATCTTTAGACTTGCTCATTTTTTTCTGAAAATTACAGAGAAAAAAAAATAAATAATAACTATTTTTTTTTTTTTTTTTTCTTTCTTATAAAAGTATAAAATTATTAACTACTGCATACAAACTACACAAATACAAATATTATAGCATAAATCTACAAAAAGCTCTATTAAAAATGATTTTCCGATAAATTAAAAGCGAGTCATAACCAACAACGCGGAAACAAATGAATAACCGGTGAATTCAGAAAAAAATATCTTACTTGGACTTTTTTCATTGTAGTAAAACTTGATATTATTGGTGAATATTTAAATAAACAATAAGTGCTGATGTAATAAAATTTATGAGTAAATATTTAACATGTAATTTACTTAAACAATGATGAAAAAAAAAAAAAAAAAGAAAATTTATTATAGAATTAATGAGTGGGCAAAATGGCGGTAAAACGGCCGGGAAGCTTCTAAATTTTTTTAACGTGAAATTATGCGTATTATTATTATAAAATAATTAATAATAAATGCTTACAAATTTTAATAGTCAGATTGGAAATAAAAAACACTTATTTAGTGTAATATTAACTACACACAGGTGATATTAATAACTAATAAACGGGTAAAAATGATTATTAAACTAAATAACGACGCCGTAGTAAGTGTATTGTCTGATCTGGATCGCGACGTACAGGTTTCAGTTTTCAGTTGTGAGTTTTGGCGTCTGTCTCGGTTGGTGTGACACTCTTACCGCAAAAATATCAATGCTACCAACAAAATATCAATTAATACCCTTCAATTTTTTATTTTAATTCATTTACATTTATTTATCTCAGTTATTAGTACCGTTAATAATATATAAAAAATATTTTCCGCTAATTATTTTCTCATATTTTATTTTAATTTATTTATTTATCATAATTTTTTTTTTCATGTTACTTTTTAAATATTTACAGTTAATTACAAAAGATAATTAGTAAATTCACTAGAAAATACCTCCTCCTCCTAAACGCATGCGTAGTAATTTAAATTTTCATTATTACTTGATAGATACTTAATTTAAATTAAATAAATAAATAATATCTTTATCATAATTAAATTGTACTGTTGTTTAATTTTGTTGAATATAAATCATCAGCACTTATTAAATCCCATAATAAAATTGAGATGAAATGTATGTGAAACCAATCTATTCGTGATGTGATTGGTTGAAAATATTTATTCTCATTCTGATTGGTTGAAAGTTAATATAATATACATAAACGACACATAAATATATCATGACAATAAATATGAGGCGCGCGCTTGCGCGCGAAAATTAAATTCTAGTGAATTATTTACTTTTGAAAATAGTGTATCAATTAATGGATGTAAACTCAGTGTTAAGTTACAGTCATTATATCGCCTTTTTTTTTTTATTTTTTTTTTTTTTTTTTTTTTCGTGAGTTACTGACATAAAAAACAAAGACACACCTATGTAACTTTGAATAGAGAGTTTACTGTAGTGTACTATACAATATAGTATGTACTTAACTGGTAATACAGTAATCTGTACATGGAGCAAAAGATGCGTACTATACAGCAGCAGCTTGTAGATGTTAAGAGTTTTCTCTCTACTCTAAATAAAATCATTTTAAGGAACATCAAAGAGTAAAAGTGTCTGGCAAGGTCTTTGGGTTATTGTTAAAATAGACACTGCCAATATAATACAAGTAGTCGTATCTTAAGTAACAATATTGTCTTTAAAATTATCGAGTCTTATTATTGAAATAATTTATTGGTAATAAATAATAAATAAAAATGGCAGCACGATCTTTGGTAAGGTATATTCAATCTAAATCAATTACACCGCAAATACATCGTTGCGCGGCATCCTTGTCTGCATTCGAAATTCAACATAAGACACCAGCTATTAAAAAAGTAATGCCTATACCTAAAGCTCATTACGGTGGTCGTCATACAGTTACATTACTGCCTGGTGCTGGAATCGGTCCTGAACTCATGGGTTACGTCAAAGAGGTATGATTATTTTTATATTTATGTAATATAAAAATAATAATAACAATAATTATAGGATGATAATATTTTGATGACAAATCAACTATAAATATAAAATAATTTTATCAGATATTCAGCTATGCTGGAGTACCAGTTGACTTTGAAGACATTGATATTGATCCAAATGCAGACAACAATGATGATCTTGAGTATGCCATAACTTCGATACGACGTAATGGAGTAGCTTTGAAAGGTAATATTGAAACACGTAGCAGAGAAGTCGGAGTACTTTCTCGTAATGTAGCCTTGCGTAATGAACTTGATCTATACGTCAATGTGCTTCATTGTGTTTCTTATCCGGGTGTCAATTCTCGTCAAAAAAATATTGACATTGTAATTGTACGTCAAAACACTGAGGGAGAGTATGCTATGTTGGAACACGAAAGTGTCAGTGGGGTTGTTGAGAGTATGAAAGTCATTACCCGATCTAATTCGGAACGTTTAGCACGTTATGCTTTTGAGTATGCTAAACGTAATGGTAGAAAAAAGGTTACTACTGTACACAAAGCCAATATTATGAAACTTTCTGATGGATTATTTTTGGAAACATCCCAACGAGTTGCCAAAGAATATCCTGAAATTGTTCATGATAATATGATTATTGATAATACATGTATGCAACTTGTCTCAAACCCTCATCAATTTGATGTTGTTTTAACTACTAATCTGTACGGCGCAATCGTATCTAATGTTGTATGTGGATTACTTGGAGGTGCTGGATTACTATCTGGAAAGAACTTTGGTGACCAATACACCGTTTTTGAACCAGGTACTCGTAATACTGGTGCTAAAATTGCTGGAAAAAATATCGCTAACCCAATAGCAATGTTAAATGCTGCTGTTGACATGTTACGTCATCTGGGTCATAAACATCATGCCACCATTATTCAAAATGCCATTAATAAAACTATCAACTCTGGAATTCATACAGCTGATCTTGGTGGTAATGCAAACAGTCGAGAGGTTGTCGACAGTATTATGAAACACATTAAAATAGCAGTTAACTAAAGATCTGATGAAAAAACAAAAAGTTACAGATAAAACTATAGTCATTTGTTTTTAAAAATAATTATAATGTTAAGTGTTGATTTTAATTGTATCAAAATTAATTATTGACCTTTATTTTCTGCTGCTATTTATTTAAGTATAAGTGATTAAAATAATGTTGTTCTGTAGAGTTTAATCATGAGGCACAAACTTGTGTATTTCAAATAATGTGAATTCTTCTTGTACAGTTTGTTAATATATACATACCAATAATAACAAAATTCTTTGTAATATATGAATTACCAATTTATTAATTGAAAAAAAAAAAAAAAGTCAATGTTAGTTCGCATAAAACATTAAACACATTTTTTGTGATTTATTAAAATTATTTAAAATTCATTTAACGTACATTCAATTAATTATCTTAATTGTTCAATAATTGTAATGCCAATTCCTCTGTTGCAAGTAAATCACTATTTTTGGGAACTTTCAACTTGGGTTGGGTTTCTCTCAGATTATCCTGATTTGGTAATTTTCTTTTTGATGGCCTACTGAACAAGAAAAAAAATTAATGGATTATTAGTTTTGTTCCTAAATGTAATAAAAGTTTATTTAATATAAACTGATTTATTTACCTGTTAATAGCTTGATCAGAATCGGAATCTTCATCATTACTGGTGTCTTTTTTAGGACCATAAATTTTATCAGGATCGGGTATCCAAGATAAATCTGGACCATCAGAATCATTTTCATCTTCACTAGCACTTGCTAATTTCACTACTCTAGATTTTCCCTTTTTACCACGAGGTAGTGTCACATATTCATCATCTTCACCTTCATCATCATCATCATCATCATCATCTTCATCGTTATTCTTATTCATTTGTGCTTTAAGTTTACGTTTCGCTTCACGACGTTTTGCTTTAATTTTTTCTTTAAACCGTTCTTTATCAATTTTATCTTCTTCACGCAAAATTTTTTTCGATAATTCAATATCGATTCCCGAAAGTTCGTAATTTTCATGCTCTCTTGCTAATTGAGATACTTGAGATTTAGCTGAATCAAGTACTTTCTAATAAAGAAAAAATAGAAATATATGTTATGTAATTAATTCAATACTAATAAAAATTTATTACCTTTCCTTCTTCATCGAATGTTATTTTTTTATTAGGAATTAACTTTTTATGAAGAATTTTTTTCGCAGCTGCAGCTTTAGTGATTATTTTCTTTGATGTTTTTTGAGGAAAATCTTCTGCAAATTCATCCACATCCCCGTCTTCAATCTGAACATTTTTTCGTTTTATTGTCAATAAATCTTCGTCACTGTCATCTGTAATGAAAAGAAAAAATATGAATAATTATCTAAAGATAAAATTAATGTAGCATTATAGAATTACTAATTACCGTTCGCAAATTCATTGGTTCCAAATGCATTTTTAAATTCATTAATTTTTATCGAGGAGTTTTTGTTTTCGTAAGTATTTTTTTGTATTTCCTCATCCTCATCTTCATTTTCGTCATCATCATCATCATCATCATCATCATCATCATCATCATCATCATCATCATCATCATCATCATCATCATCATCATCATCATCATCATCATCATCATCATCATCATCATCATCATCATCATCATCATCATCATCATCATCATCATCATCATCATCATCATCATCATCATCATCATCATCATCATCATCATCATCATCATCATCATCATCATCATCATCATCATCATCATCATCATCATCATCATCATCATCATCATCATCATCATCATCATCATCATCATCATCATCATCATCATCATCATCATCATCATCATCATCATCATCATCATCATCATCATCATCATCATCATCATCATCATCATCATCATCATCATCATCATCATCATCATCATCATCATCATCATCATCATCATCATCATCATCATCATCATCATCATCATCATCATCATCATCATCATCATCATCATCATCATCATCATCATCATCATCATCATCATCATCATCATCATCATCATCATCATCATCATCATCATCATCATCATCATCATCATCATCATCATCATCATCATCATCATCATCATCATCATCATCATCATCATCATCATCATCATCATCATCATCATCATCATCATCATCATCTTCTTTATCTTTTTCTTTCCTTTCATGATTATCCTCTTTGGAGTCGTGATCTGATTCCTCATCACCTAATGATTCATTTTCTTTTTCATTAGATTTATTTTGTTTCTCTAGATTGTTTTTGTGTCTTTGAAGAAAACGAATTCTTGGAGGGATAGCTAAGCCCAACGATCTAGATTAAAAAAAATGATAATCCATTAAAAATGGTTAAAAAAAAGAATTTGTTTGTTGTAAAAAAGTTTTTAATTACGCTGCATATGCATCTGTGTTCAAGGAGTGGACATCAAAAATTTCTTTATCCTTCATTAAAGCTACTGATTTAATATAAGAAAGAAAAGCTCTTTTGGCTGATTGTTTCAGTTCTACATCTCTGGCAAGGAATGCTTCAAGTTGTCGGTGTGGAGATATTATATATTTATCATCAATTCTAAAATCAGAAAAAAAAAATATTAAAAGTAACAATTTTGATTACAGCTTGAAAAAATTGTATAATTAAAATTAAATCGAACTTACTTGACTTTATTAATAGGAATTTTTCTGGCAACTAATTTGTCAATCATTTTTATTTCATTAGGTGTTAATACTAAAAGTGATTGACCATCATCTTCAAATCTTGCCGTTCTACCGGCTCTGTGGATATATTGATCAGTATCTTCTGGACAATCCATTTGTACTACCCAATTAACATCAGGAAAATCTAAAATTGATAGTCAATAATTATTAAAAAAGTAACAATTGGCGTAAGTAAGATAAGTGTATTGAATAATTATATCTACTTACCTAGTCCACGTGAAGCAATATCTGTACAAAAAAGTGCAGCTTTGTTTGTTGTACAAAACTTTTCATAAATTTTCATTCGTCTCAATTGATGCATCGTACCATAAAGTGCTGTGATAGGAATTCCGGGACGTAATTTACAGAAACATTCAAACATGTATTTTGTTTGTTTGCAAGTTGAGAAAAAGACAATTATTTTTTGCTGTGTATGCCTTTTTAGAAAAGACCAGAGCATCGCTACCTTGTTGTCCAAATTACAGACAGTGTAACTTTGTTTTAAATTATCTGGTGTAACGTACTTCATGTGCTCGTGAACAGAAATATATTGACGATCTTTTGATAAATTTAATCTAGCTAAATCTTTAACTGACTTGGTCTGAGTAGCGGAGAACAGCAACGTTTGTCTTTTTTTTGGTAAATGATCCATAATAGCATCAATATCATTTTGAAAACCTTGATCTAAACATCTATCAGCTTCATCAAGAACGAGAATTTTCAATGGATTGGTATCAAAACTTGCGTTTTCATCTAAATGTTGAAGAATTCTTCCTGGTGTTCCGATAACGATATTACAAGTTTCCATACGGTTCCTTTCAAATTTCCAATCTTTACCTCCTATAATTAAAGCAGCAGAAAAATCATGATGTCTTCCTATATTTCTTAAGGTCTCAAAAATTTGTAGAGCTAATTCCCGTGTGGGAGTTATTATCATTGCTCCTAGACGATCTTCCCTTGACCATAACTCACAATACAATAATTCTAGCACCTGAAAATGTATACGTTCATTAAATTATAGTACAATAATATTATAGTAACAATAAATAAATACCGGAATTAAAAAAGCAAGTGTTTTTCCACTGCCAGTTTTTGCTGCCCCTAAAATGTCGTACCCTTGAAGTGCTTTACCGATACATTGTCTCTGAATCTCTGATGGGACAAAATATTTAGATTCTTTCAATCCTTTCAATGTTTTGTCAGATATTGGGAAATCGGAAAATTTTTTTATTTTTGATTCATCGATCTAAAATTATATAAAAATGGGTTAATGTTTTGCAACAACATTAATACAGTTGTGATTGTAATAATAAAATAAAAAATTATGAATAAATTAATCGAACGTGTCGATTACGTGTAGTAAAATTTTTTTTCATTTTTTAAAATCACAACTCTGATTATCAAAAAAAAATAATAACCTCTTTATACTTAGACTTCAATATTTCAACTTTTTTGCTTTGAGGGATTGTTTTTTTCCTAGTAGCTGTTTTAAATTTTCTTCTTTGATTATTTGAATTTTCTCCTTTTTTTTTACTTTTATGTGATACGTTAGCCATTTTTTATTTAACAATATTCAAATGAACAAATATAAACATACCAGACGACAGGACACTTTGAGCACGTTTTTTTTTTTTATATAAATGATTAACACATATGGCTGATTTACATTGGCTTTAAATCAGTTAGAAAGTTGTTATATTGACTGTAAGTAACTCAGTGGCATTCCAGGCGCATGATGTAGGGGTCATATCTGAGTGATCCGAACGGAAATGTAGCCAGTGTAATAATTGTAAAGGAATTCAAAAAGTAACTTGCTCTCTAACAAGTTATATACATTTAATACTTCATACATAACACTTAATATATGTCAAATAATAGTAAATTCTATATAATAAAATACACACATTAAAACATTTAAATATCATATTTATGAAAAAAATTAAACTGTAACCCATGAAACATTACAAAAGAACGACAATTGATCTGTCTTCTAAGTCTTTTAAGTCATAAGTAAGAAATTAGTTGTCGGTAAGGTAAATTTTTTTAGGTAACTGGCGGTGAAGGAAATTTAAATTATATTTATTAAAATATTATATTTTATTTATTAAAATATATAAATATTGATTACTAAAATAAAACAAAAAATCGCTTATTTAATGGGAAATTATTTATTTTTCTTTATAAAGTAATTTTTTGTTAATTATATAAAATATTAAAATCAAACTGTTTTTTATTTGTTTCAACTTAAACTATTATTCATCTATACACTTTCTCAAAATTTATCAATATTAAAAGAAAAAAAACATCTTTTTTTTTT